TGGGGGGGAGGGGGCAGGGTGGGGAGGAAATGTGAGGTGACGTGCTATTGCACCCACCATATCACGCCTGGCCCACGTGGGTTCCTCTTTATGACTGTGTTGCGATTAACTAAAATAATAATAAGAAGAAGTAGAATATTTATCATCCTTATTGCTGGTATAGAAAACCCCTGTGTCGTGGTGCCACCGTGCCAAGTGGTTTTTGTTCCGTGGACCCTCTGATGGCAAGGCCGAACCTTCGCCTGCCAGCCTGCTTAGCGGTGACGTCACAAGGGGGGGCCCCTAATTTCCGGTCCATGCGGCGGCGGCGGCGTCATCGATGATTCACAAATCGGTGCGTCGAGTGGGGGGTCGCCGGGGTTTTATTGGGGGGGGGGGGGCCCCCCGCGATTTTTCTCGTTCGATACGATTCCGCGCCGATTCCGTGCCGATCCCATCGTCCGCTTGGCCGCATTGTCGTCGTGTCGTTGTGGTTGTTCTCTCGTTTACTTTCGTAATTGTTTCACTTGCTGATCAAAAAAAAAAGCACGATTGAAATTGCAAACGCGAAAAATCGTTTGTTATTTTTTCGGATTCGTTTTATTTTCTTTCAGGCGGGAAGCCACGCAGCGACCTGTCCGTATTTGCGTCTTGCTAACGTGTGTTTGTTACGGTATGTTGAACTTCCTTCGCGCCGTACGTAGCCAACCGTGCAAATCGGAGGTGCGGGGAAGGGCCGACAAGTTAAACACACACACACAAAAAACGTCACAACGTTTCGTCGTTACGACGTTTCGACGGTGTCTGCACCGCGTGGGTGGTCATGGTGGTGCGACGCGCAACACCAAGGGCAACACCAATCCAGGAGAGGCACGTGGCAAGGGTGTAAGGATACTTCAATGTAAACCCAACAGCTTCCTTACGTAAATGGGAAAACCCACCGCCAGTGTCGCCCGTTTAATGTGCGCACACGCAGACACAGATTCCCATTTAACAGCCTTCAAGTGCTGTTAGCGAACACCTATAAAGGTCGGCACGGCGCACGAGGGGGTGGGTGGCCAGCACCACACCCCCCACTACTGATGATTTACACACAGCACCAGGTACTCATTTGAAGCCCAGTCGACTGAGGGGAGGCCCAGGAGCGGCTTAAATATTCGCCACCGTTATTTCTCGTGAGCTGGTATCGAACTCGGGTCCGCTGGGTTCCGAGCGCAGCGTACTAACTGCTGCACCACCCCTCTGCGAGGTCGAATGTCCCTAAGCTCTATTCCTAGCCCTATTCCCAAATTATCATGGTTTCAGCTCACGGTGTACGTGGGAGAACGATTCTCTCACAATAAAATATTTGGCACGTCCGACGCTCGTACGCGTGACAATTGAATTTGACAATATAATCTGTGTCGGGTGGTGGAGGATCTTGCGACACAAATTTGAGCAGGTCATTACGTAACCCCGAAAATAAATTACGAATTGCGATGTTGGCTACGAAATCGTACGTTGTGAACGATGATTGAAGGTCCAAATAAACAGCTGTTATTTAAATTCAAGTCAAAAGTAATTTCCTGGCTCAAATGCGCATGCATTGATGTGGCTTTAATTCTGTTTACAGCCCTGAGCTAGAGATCGAAATTCCACGTCCTTATGGTGGGAGGCGAATCTGTCCATAGGACAACTTCATTTTATCAACCCCAGACAGCTGATGATTCAGCTGTGTCGGGTGGAGGAGGGGTGTACGACACAACATTGGCATTGTACAGAGGGATCGCAATACGATGCAATGGTTTACATTTAAGCTTCCTCTTCTCCTATAATGCGGTGGTTACGTTCCTGAAGAACACCGCGCTGTGGAAAAAAGCGTTATAAATAATATATTATGTCGGGTAAAGCACAGACGTGAGATGCATACGCAGGCTGAACAATGACAGCCCTCGTGGGTAGCATCTAGAAGCATCCAGCAGCATCCCACCTTGTGTGATGCTACGCTGAAGGCAGCCGTACTACCGCTTATACACGCGTGACGTAGATCTGTTCACTAAATTTGCGTTATAAAAAGATGCATTCCCCAATACAATTGTCGCGTTATATCCAAATCGCATTATCAAAACACGCGTTGTAGGAGAACAGACCGTACCGCCATGGGAGATTGCTGCTATCATCGTCATCATTGTGGGACTCAATATCGTATCGTATTGTGAAGAATCCTTATCGCGGCGACCCCAGTTGTAAGTGAAGCAGACATTTGTTGTTAATGTGATTTCCCCCCCCCCCCCCCCGAATGTGTTCACGCGTTCTACCCTGACGGAATAAACATCGACCCGCTGCTTGTGTCATCATCAATCGTCGTCAGCCACGGTCAGTCCACTGCTGGACGGAGGCCTCCCCAAGTCCGCCTCTCGCGATTCTGCAGTGTAGCAATCCGCCCAGGAACTTTCCTGCACCTACGAGCTGATTTTAGTTATCGCTCCATCTCCCCGGTGGGCGTGCTTTCTCCGGGACACGTTCCATTGCTTGTCTGCTGCTCAGTTTGTTGTCCTTGCCCCGCACCTGCGATCGGCACGGTTGGCTACGTACGGTGCGAAAGAAGTTCAAGATACAGGGACTCCTCTACTTACAAACGAGTTCGGTTCCCAGAGGCCTGTTCGTAAGTCCAACTATACTCCCGTCGATTCGAAACATTGTACGGCATGTGCACCAAACACGGGGAATGGTTTTATAAGTTAAATTTCGATTTAAAGCTTTCGTGACTGCAGGGATTCATCTTCTTGGTTCTTTCGGTAAAGTCACGTAGAATGGAAATAATAAATAATAAAAATAAAACATCATAAAATAATTCTCACGACGTTTCGGCCACAACGCAAGCAGCCGTCCTCAGGTGGAGAGCAGGTCTGTCGGAAAGACAGCGTCTGTCAGACCTGTTCTTCACCTGAAGACGGCTGCTTGCGTTGTGGCCGAAACGTCATGATAATTTTTTTTTATGTTTTATTTTTATTATTTCCCTTCTACGTGACTTTACCGAAAGTACCAAGAAGATGAATCCCTGCAGTCACGAAAGCTTTAAATCGAAACATTAGCATGATGTTAATGTGAGAAATTAGCATGTAAAAGTAAGCTAGGAGAGCGGCCTCCTCGACGAGGGCACGGAAGTGGCTATGTTTTCCATAATTGAGTTTTTTTTTAATCCTTTATATTAAGTTCGCTTGCTTGCTTAGGACCGTGCAAATCTTTCGGTCGTTTTTTAACCCACTTCCCGTGATCCAATCGAGCTGACATTTTGCGCACAGACTCGTTGTGCGTGACAATGCATTTTAGTGAAAAAAAAATTCTAAAATTTTACACTGTTTAGGGGAAATTTTTTAAATATTTAATTACCAATTGTTTAATGCTGCCAGACAATCATCTGACCCATAGGTGGCAGCCATCTCAAGCCAGAGGACGAGAGGACTCTAGCCGCCCCGATGCCACGCATATAAAGGATTTATAGTGAAAAACAGTTTTTACAGGTTATTTTTTTTTTGGGTTAGATCGCGTAAATGTAAATGTGTTGTTAAACCCGCCACCAGCCGACACGGCCAATTAGTAGGGTTTGAGTCACGTAAACAGAACGTGGCCCAGGCGTTACTCATGTAATGATTACTTGACACACTTCTCTTGAGATGGCACTTTACTGTAGACACGTTCACACACCCCCCACTGCAACAGCCCCGAGTCTCCCGCGCATCTCCCTTTTATACCGACCGAGGCCACGCCCCCCTTCTCGATCATTCTCGCTATGACAATAGTTTAAAGCGATTTGAAGCATGTTTTTGGGGGGGCAGAGCTTTGTGACGTCATATTTGAGGGGGGGTCTGACTTTGTGACGCCGTGTGACGATGGGGGGGGGTAAAAAATCGTCCAAAATCGCGTGACGTCATTTATGGACGGCCCCTTAAACTGACAGATGCTTTTGTTTTCATTAACTCGACGACCAAAGACGGAGGCTGTTTGGTGGTCCCACACCGACCAATCGATTCAAACAAAAATCCATCGCGTGATTACGCAACCGCACCGCGGTGACGTCACGAAGCCATCGCGTGCGCGGTGACGTCGACCGAGACAAGAAAACGTTGCACGGGTGCTGTGACGTCACCGAGACAACGTTTTACGGGCGCGATGACGTCACCGAGACAAAAAACGTTCCAAACACGGTAGCGATGACGTCATCAAGACAACGTTTCACACAGACGGTCGCGATGACGTAAGCGAGACAAAAACGTTCCACACAGTCGCGTGACGTCACCGAGACAAAAAAGTTACACACGGGCGCGATGACGTCACCGTGTTAATAAACGTTCCACACACACACAGTCGCGTTGACGTCACCGAGACAAAAACGTTCCACACACACACACAGTTGCGTGACGTCACCGAGACAAAAAAGTTACACACGGACGCGATGACGTCACCGAGTCAATAAACGTTCCACACACACACACGGTCGCGTGACGTCACGAGATATCGCCCTTCCCAGATTTCCCAGCGCGGATAGGCGACTAGAGCGCCACCCGATGCCTCGCTGCGATTGGTCCGCAGCCGCGCACGTGACCTTCATGGGGGTGGCGGGGGGTGGCGGGGGTGGCGCTTCCCACGCCGACCGAGGCGCCTGTGCGGGCTACGAAATGTAACGCGCGCGGGACATCCCCCCCGCCTACCCCCAAGAACCGGGTTAGCTGACGGGAGAGAGACCGGAACGGGGTCCCCCCTCACAGGATCGGGGGTACAAGCGGCCAGGATCGGGGGTACAAGCGGTCAGGATCGGGGGTACAAGCGGCCAGGATCGGGGGTACAAGCGGCCAGGATCGGGGGTACAAGCGGCCAGGATCGGGGGTACAAGCGGCTAAGATCGGGGGTACAAGCGGCCAGGATCGGGGGTACAAGCGGCCAGGATCGGGGGTACAAGGGGCTAGGATCGGGGGTACAAGGTGCCAGGATCGGGGGTACAAGCGGCTAAGATCGGGGGTACAAGGGGCTAGGATCGGGGGTACAAGCGACCAGGATCGGGGGTACAAGGGGCTAGGATCGGGGGTACAAGCGGCCAGGATCGGGGGTACAAGGGGCCAGGATCGGGGGTACAAGCGGCCAGGATCGGCAGACCGGGGGGGGGGGGGATCAGGACCGGGACCCCCAGGACCCCCAAGATCGCAGGGTGATCAGGAATCTCTCGGAAAGAATCGATCTTGCTCCCGGAACACGCAGGGGACGATACCTCACCACGCTGGTCAGTGCGGGGTGGACCCCCCCTCCTCCTCCTACCCCCCCAGTCAATCGGACCCCTTCGACCCCAGGATTAGGACTTACCAAGACCCCCCAGGATCCCATAGGCCCCCCAGAATCAGGCCCCCGTCCCCCACGACAGGGATTCTAGGAGCAGGTTGACGACCTTAGAACGCTCAGACCCCCAGGGCCGGGATTCTATGACCTATAACCCCATTGATTAGGAGGACCCTTGGTCCAGGTCAAGGGTCAAGGACCCCCCCCCCCCAGGATTCTCGTTATCCTAAAGTCTCCAGGAGTAGGACCCCAAGACCGGGGTTCTAAGACCCCCCAGACGCAAAGGGGACCAGGCTGCTAGGGCTGTTCCCAGGTCCCCTAGGGCTCCCGATGACCCGGGGGTTCAGCACCAGGACCCAGTTTCTAGTCTCTAAAGTCTTGTGCCGAGCTGACAGTCCTCGACCAGGGAGATATTGAGCGCGAATTCCCAGTCCACGGCTCATTGGGGTTCGAGATTTCGGTTACTGGTCCTCCCAGGTTACCCACCCCCAAGTCCCATAGTCGTTAATCTCAGTCTTTAGCTGGTCCCAGTCTCTCTCCGTCCTCGAGTTCCCAGTCCTCCTCGCCACCCCGCGAAGTTGTCTTCTCCCTCCCTTTGATTCCCGAACCCCGCGCTCGCCATGGCGACCCGGAGTCTAACCGAGGCTTTCGTGCTGATGCGGAATAACGCGATGCACACGAGACACGTGCTGGCCGAGCAAGTGAGTAGCACCACCACCAACACCTCCACCACCTCCACCACCTCCTTCTCATCCCCGGCCGCGGCGCGACGCCGCGCCTCGGTGAGTCGCCCCGTCCCGCCAGTTGCAGACTCACGAACTACTACCCCCCCTCCCCCCCCACTGGGGGACTTGACACTCCCTCAGTGGGGGGGGGATGGGGGGGACTCCCCCCCCCCCCCCCAGTGTGGGACCCCCTCCCCCCATTGTGAGACCCCCCCCCCCCCCTCAGTTGACTCACTCCCCCAGTGTGGGACCCACACCCCCCAGTTGACTCACTCCCCCATTGTGGGACCCCCCCCCCTCAGTTGACTCACTCCCCCAGTGTGGGACCACCCCCCCTCTCAGTGGACTCCCCCATTGTGGAACCCCCCCCCCCCCTCAGTTGACTCACTCCCCCATTGTGGGACCCCCCCCCTCAGTTGACTCACTCCCCCCATTGTGGCACCTCCCCCCCCCCCCAAGTTGTGGACTCACTCTCCCTCAGTGTGGGACCATTCCCCCGCCCACACCCCCAGTTGCGGACTCGCCATCCCCCGGTTGTGGGATCACTCCCCCACTGGTGGACTCATTGCCCTAGTGGGGGACTCTTTGCCCCACTGGTGGACTCATTGCCCCACTGGTGGACTCATTGCCCCACTGGTGGACTCACACCTCCAGTGGTGGACTGACTCCCCTAGTGGTGGACTCATTGCCCCAGTGGGGGACGACTCTCGCGAACCACGGCGGCGTGGAGGAGACTCGAGTCGGCTTCTCTCGAGCGGTGTCGGGGTTTTGTTTGTCGTTGTGGTATCGCTCTTATCTGCCTCGAGTAAAACTCGACACATTCGTCACAGTTAAAACCGTGTGTGTGTTTCCGTGGCCTTGAAAACGAAATAATATACAGGGACTCCTCTACTTACGAGCGTTCGACTTACGAACTTTCAGAGATAGGAACAAACCTGTCTGTATGTCCAGTTGTCTGTTCGGACCGAGTGTTTTTTTAAGAGAGTTGAGAGGAAACACGAGCGCCAAAGGGAATTACCATCTACGTCTGCGGAACATGAAGAACCAGTGGCATCTACATCTGCAGAACATGAAGAACCCGTGGCATCTACATCTGCAGAACATGAAGAACCCGTGGCATCTACATCTGCAGAACGTGAAGAACTAGTGGCATCTACATCTGCAGAACATGAAGAACCCGTGACATCTACGTCTGCGGAACATGAAGAACCAGTGGCATCTACATCTGCAGAACATGAAGAACCCGTGGCATCTACGTCTGGGGAACATGAAGAACCAGTGGCATCTACATCTGCAGAACATGAAGAACCAGTGGCATCTACGTCTGCGGAACATGAAGAACCAGTGGCATTTACATCTGCAGAACATGAAGAACCCGTGGCATCTACGTCTGGAGAACATGAAGAACCAGTGGCATCTACATCTGCAGAACATGAAGAACCCGTGGCATCTACGTCTGCGGAACATGAAGAACCAGTGGCATCTACATCTGCAGAACATGAAGAACCCGTGGCATCTACGTCTGGGGAACATGAAGAACCAGTGGCATCTACATCTGCAGAACATGAAGAACCAGTGGCATCTACATCTGCAGAACATGAAGAACCCGTGGCATCTACGTCTGCGGAACATGAAGAACCAGTGGCATCTACATCTGCAGAACATGAAGAACCCGTGGCATCTACGTCTGGGGAACATGAAGAACCAGTGGCATCTACATCTACAGAACGTGAACAACCAGTGGCATCTACATCTGCAGAACATGAAGAACCCGTGGCATCTACGTCTGCGGAACATGAAGAACCAGTGGCATCTACATCTGCAGAACATGAAGAACCAGTGCAATCTACATCTGGGGAACGTGAAGAACCAGTGACATCTACATCTGCAGAATGTGAAGAACCTGTGACATCTACATTTTCAGAACATGAAGAACTAGTGGCATCTACATCTGCAGAATATGAAGAACTCGTGGCATCTATGTCTGGGGAACGTGAAGAACAAGTGGCATCTACATCTGTAGAATATGAAGAACCCGTGACATCTCAATCTGCAGAACATGAAGAACCCGTGACATCTACATCTGTAGAAAATGAAGAACTAGTGGCATCTAAATCTGCAGAATATGAAGAACCCGTGACATCTACATTTGCAGAACATGAAGAACTAGTGGCATCTACATCTGCAGAACATGAAGAACCAGTGGCATCTTCGTCTGGGGAAGGTGAAAAACCAGTGGCATCTACATCGGCAGAACATGAAGAACCAGTGGCATCTACGTGTAATGAGCGACTTCCGCGACACGTCGTGTCGAGGGTACTCTCTTCTTTATTCACATTCGGGCACACCACAGGCCAACCTTATCCTCTTCCTTCTCCGAGTACACACGTAGATATTAGTATCCCTACAGACTACGCGTGGTCGATCCCACAGCGTGGTTCTGTCTGCCCACTCCCGGCCTCGCCGCTGGTTGACGGCGTGCCGGCGAGGGTGGTGGGACTTCGCAGGAGATCTGCCACGTGGCCGAACGACGGAGAGAGATGACGGCGAGCAGCAAAGCAAGTGCGGACACAAGGCTCCCCACGTCGACCACGAGTCCTCCTCCGCTTATATTGCCGCAGGCGCGGCTAGGCTCCGCCTCCGGCCACGCCCTCTCGTGGAACCTTCTAGCCGGTTCCCGGAGTATCTCGGGATTGGATGTTTATAGTGGTGCCTGTACCCGTGCTCCTCTTTTCCAACCAGTAGATGACACCATGTCATTACATACGTTTGCGGAATGTGAAGAACCAGTTGCATCTACATCTACAGGAGATCATACAAACTTTCAAAGCCATTACCCCGTGCTTAGTGTACACGCCGCAACAACACGTTTGGAATCGACAAGAGTAAAGTTGGACTTATGACCAAATCGCCAGTTCGTAAGTAGAGGAGTCCCCTGTACAATTTGTGGCGTTTCGAGCAGCGGTTCTTCTTCACGGCGTGTAGACCTAGAAAGGTGAGAGTATCGCCAAGTGCAACTGGTTCCCCGGTTTACGATGCCGTCAATGAACAATCCGCCTCCCGTAGGGTCCCCATTGTCTCTTTTAACGAGACATTTTCGATTAACGATGTGTATGTTTACGAAATCACGCGGCCGCCAATTTCGGCCAATCGGAGCGCTCCTAAGTGGACTCGGCAGACCTCGGCCAATCAGCGACGCCCTTTTATGAGCGTCTTGACAGCAACTGGCTGCTAAGCTTTTCAATGTTTGATGGTGCGTTGCTTATGGAAACAGCTCTCTTGAATACAGTGGGTTTTTTTTACTTAAGTTAATATTTAAATAAAAATGGCCTCTAAAATTCATGTGAATAAAATACAAGAAAGTGAGGAAAACAATGAGTTTTTAGAGTGAAAATGTCAATTCCGATCGTCTTGGAACAAATGAAGCCTTTAGCATGTAATTCCTATATTCTACTCACGATAATTTCAACAAACGATGGTTTTCGTGGGACCAGTTAATATCGTTAACCGAGGGAACCGCTGTAATTGTCTCGTTTTAAGCTCGTCTTGCGTCTCTGATTCGATCTGACCCTGATGGACCTGCTGCCCCGCGCCGCTTTGCCTCGGCTCTGTCCGTCGGTTGACGGTATTCGGACCTCCTCGTCAAAATTGATGCAGCTCGTTTTTTTATATTGGACACGCTGACGAACCAAACCAACTCGAAGCAGCAGTGCGTGGTGAAAGCTCGAAGCCGCGTCCGGATTCCCAAGCGGGGGACGGCTGTTGCACAAAAACCTGCGTGTCAAAAAAAACTCAACTCCTTTTCCCATCTCATACCCGACTCGCGAAATCTCTCGATTCGAATCTCGTCGGGGTTTTTTTTTCTTCGGCCTCGTTTCATATTCCTTCTAATCCGGACTCTCATTCATCCGGCACCTTGATTTGGTTTGACTCGACTCGATTTGATTCGGCAGTCGGCCGGCTTATCTCGTCTCAACCTCCGGCATTATTTTATCCAGAGCCTTGGTTGGTCGGCTCTCATTTCCGACCGCTTTGAGATCTCAGAATTTTCTTACCTTGTCTTTATATTTATAGAGCGCCTGTGATCCAGGCGTTTTAATTCGACTCGGCGACATCAACAAACGACTCGGGTCCCGAAATCTGCTCGGCTCTCGATTCGACCTTTCATCACCTTTGTTGTGTGGATTCAAAACTCGAGCCAATCGAATCCCGATTCCGATTCTTTGAGTTGGCTCGACTCGACCCGACCGATTTGGCTTTGACGGGAGTCGGCGGTGGAGGGGAGGATGCCCTCGACCACGATGTTGTCGGGGCCTGAGTTGGAGTCCCCGACCCTGGGGGCAAAAGCCAAGGTGGAAGCCACCTCGAGTCTCGGCCCGTGAGATGTGCGGTGTGCATGTTCCCTTACAGCCACGTTGTCACTTACAACCACGTGTTCACTTACAGCCACGTGGTCACTTACAACCACGTGTTCACTTACAGCCACGTGTTCACTTACAGCCACGTGGTCACTTACAACCACGTGGTCACTCACAGCCACGTTGTCACAACCACGTGGGCACTTACAGCCACGTGTGCACTTACAGCCACGTGTGCACTTACAGCCACGTGTTCACTTACAGCCACGTGTTCACTTACAGCCACGTGTGCACTTACAGCCACGTGTTCACTTACAGCCACGTGTGCACTTACAGCCACGTGTTCACTTACAGCCACGTGGGCACTTACAACCACGTGTGCACTTACAGCCACGTGTTCACTTACAGCCACGTGTTCACTTACAACCACGTGGTCACTTACAGCCACGTGTTCACTTACAGCCACGTTGTCACTCACAACCACGTGGTCACTCACTGCCACGTGGTCACTTACAGCCACGTGTTCACTTACAACCACGTGGTCACTTACAGCCACGTGTTCACTTACAGCCACGTTGTCACTCACAACCACGTGGTCACTCACTGCCACGTTGTCACTTACAACCACGTGGTCACGCGCAACCACGTGTTCACTCGCAACCACGTGGTCACTCACAACCACGTGTGCACTTACAACCACGTGGTCACGCGCAACCACGTGGTCACTTACAGCCACGTGTTCACTCACAGCCACGTGTGCACTTACAACCACGTGTTCACTCGCAACCACGTGGTCACTCGCAACCACGTGGTCACTTACAACCACGTGGTCACTTGCAACCACGTGTTCACTTGCAACCACGTGTTCACTTACAACCACGCGTACATACACTCACTCGTGCACGCACACACTCGTGCACGCGCGCACGCACACTTTGACGGCACCGCTGTGCGTCCGTAGTGAGGGCACCCTTGCACGAGTCACCCAGCTCTCCCTTGCACGAGTGGCCCAGCTCTCCCTTGCATGAGTGGGGTGGACGTCGGTGAGCTCAGTGCCCCTGCTTGGAGCTTTCTGCGTGTGGATTTTCTGTGTTCTCCTCCCCCCTCCTGTTCTGCAGTGCGATCAGAATACGCTTGTCGTGAGCGTATCCATGCATCGTGATGCCCCTGCCCCCCTCCCCTAATCCACTGCGTAAACAACAACAACAACAATTGCCACTGAGTGGCGGTGACGTCGCCACGCCGCTCGTACCTGGCTTGGTGCACTGCAAGGGAGACCTTGGTTTCTGTCCATCCCACTGATCAACCCCCACACTGGTTAACTCCCACACTGGTTAACTGCTGGACTGGTTAACCACCAGACTGGTTAACCACAAAACTGGTTAAATGCTGGTAACCACTGCATGGCTTACAAAATGAGGCGTCGCGTGGGGAGTTGGACAGTGTTGATGCATGCGAGTGTGTACAACACCCCCCCCCCTCCTCTGATCTGTGTCTCTGTGTCACTGTCTGATCCATCTCTGTGTCTGCGTCTGATCTGTGTGTCACTCTGAGCTGCGTGGTGTCTTGCTATATTGATCTCTTGAGTGGTAATTGCTGACTGGCCTTTCTTGTGCCTCTCTGCCTGTCTCTGTGCGATGTCTTTGTGTCTCCCTGATGTGTCTCTTCCCTGTCTCTGTCTCTCTGAGCCGCGTTTGTGTTTCCCCATGCCGTGTGCTGGCGGCCGTAACCGTGGTTACCGTGCTCCGCTGCCTCTCCTGCCTCCCGGGGCCCCGGCAACCGTACCACTCAGGAGCTGGACGAGGTAGAACCCCTGGTCCCTTCCTCGTGATGACGACACCACTCGTTCCGTCTCCGTGACAACGTCAACCGTCTCCGTGACAGCACCCGTTTCCATGACAATGCCGCCCAACCTGTGCCCATGGCAATGCCACCAATCTAAATGACGCCACCCATCTCCATGACGACAACAACATCCATCTTCATGACAATATCACCCGTCTCCATGACAGCACATTGCCATGGCGACACCCATTCCGATAATGGTGCCATCCGCGCCGTTTTTGTGACGACACCTCTCGCATCCATGTGACGACCTCCCCCATGGGTCCATGTAGCTCACCTCTCGCACTCGGCTCGTCCCTCACCCCGAACTCACCCCTCCTTTACTCACCGTACCCCTAACTTGCTCACCCCTCCCTTAATCACCGTACTCCTAACTCGCTCACCTCTCGCACCTCACCCACAACTCACCTTCCCCGATCTCGACGCGGGGCTGTCTGATTTTGAGTGTCTCAAACTTGTCACGGGACGTTAATTTTTCTTCTAATTATTGCGATTTTGTTCACGTAGGAAAGCCTCATCGAGTCTCAGGACTCTTTTTGTTTTCAGGAGGGTCCTGCCGAGTTTTCGTATTAGCCTGGCGATGTTGCTGCTGCTGCTGCAACAGCTATGTGTGTGTAATCCCACTTGAGTCATTTGAGGTGTCAGTTTATAAAAAAATGTTAATCATGACGGCGGTGGCACACGATGGCCCGCTCTTGCGAACGGCGTCACGGGATCTTTCACGTCCGCTGTGAGTGAAGCTGAAGGCTCGTACTATTTTATGGTGAACACTGTACATGCCGCAGTGTTGATTAACCAGGGCAGCCTGCCGGATTCAAAATGTGAACATCAACAGCTCATGCGGAACGCGCTGCTCCTGTGAATGTGTGTTTGTGGGGAGCGGTGGTATAGCGGTTAGCGCTACGCTGCGCTGCGAACCCGGCCACCCATGTGCGATTCCCGCTCACGGCCAACACCGCCAGTGACGAATATCTGAACCGGTCCTGGGCCTCCCCTTGGTCGACTCGGCCTCAATTGAGTACCTGGTGAGGTGTGTAAACATCGCCATTGGGGAGACAAAGGCGACCGGGCGTGGTGCTGGCCAACCTACCTCCTCGTGTGACGCGTTTGTGCGCGCGTGTTCGCGTGTACATGTGTGCTTGCATGCGTATACGCGTGTGTGTGTACGTAGGTGTGCGCATGCGCGTGTACCCGTCTATGCGTGTATGTGTACCTGTGTATGTGCGTGCGTGTTTGTGCGTGCGTGCGTGTGTAGATGGCGGATGACCGCATGGCACTCGTGTCTGGTCTCAGCATGGACCCCGAGGCAGCCATTGCCGTCACAAAGACACTCCCGCCGGACTGGGTGGACAGCGTGGACGAGGTGACACAAAGACAAAGATCACCCCTATAGCCTGTAACAGACTGTTGGGACAAGTGCTGTTAGCGAGCACCTATGAAGGCCGGCACGGCATACGATGGGGTGGGTGGCCAGCACCACGCCCGGCCGCCTTTGTCTCCCCTGTGGCGATGTTTACTACGCACCGCACCAGGGACTCATTTGAGGCTGAGTCGACCTAGGGGAGGCCCAGGAGCGGTTGAGATAATCATTCCTGGTGTTAGTGGCCGTGAGCTGTAATCGAACTCGGGCGGCCGGGCCTCTTAGTGCAACGCCCTAACCGCTGTGCCACCGCTCCCCCCCACGTTTTTGAAAAAAAGACAAAGATTCTCCGTATAGCCTTAACAGACTGTTGGGGCTTTTAGCGAGTGCCTATAAAGGCCGGCACGGCACACGATAATTTGGTGGCCAGCACCACGCCCGGCCGCCTTTGTCTCCCCAGTGACGAAGTTTACTACACACCGCACCAGGGACTCATTTGAGTCGACCTAAGGGAGGCCCACGACAGATAATCGTCACCGGCGTTGGCCACGAGCCGGAATCGAACTCGGGTCGCCGGGTTCGTAGCGCAGCGTAGCGCCAACCGCTACACTACCGCTCCCCATACCGCGGCACGACAAAGACACGCGCACACGCTCGGCATTGACCACGTCCTCTTCCCGCGCGAGCGATGGCGATACCCCCCGGGGACGGCGGTTAACCAGTCGGCCGGCCGTGCCGATGGTCCCGGCAGATCCAGTACGAGGTGGCGCGGATCAAGCAGAAGATGAAGGAGCTGGCGGTGCTGCACGACAAGCACCTGAACCGGCCCACGCTGGACGACACGAGCGAGGAGGAGCACGCCATCGAGATCACCACGCAGGAGACCACGCAGGTGGGGAAGTACAGCAAGCGGGTTCTCCCTCTCTCCGCCTGGGTTCCCCCCAACCACCCCCCCACTCCTCCCACCTCCTCCCCAACTCACAGTGGCTAAGCGATGTTATCTCCCTCGCCTAGAATGCTGGAGGCCGTGGGTTCGAGCCCGACCCTGACGCCTGCTGTGTATTTGGAGTTTGCGTGTCTCGCTGTGTCTCTCTCTGTCTCTCTCTCCCCGTGGTGAGATGTTAACTACCTCGCCCGGTATACAGGAGATCGTGCGTTTGATCCCGACCCTGACGCCTGCTGTATATTTGGAGTTTGCGTGTCTTTTTTTGCACCGTACGTAAACCAACCGTGTTAATCGGAGTTGTAGGGAAGGACAACAATCTAAACACAACAAGCACTTCTAAAGAAACGAGTCTTCCATCTCGATTATTTAAAAGTGCATGGCTCTAGTGGTTTCCTAAAATCGGACGGAAGAGCATTCCAGACGGCCACAGAAGCGCGGGCCTTAAAAGTAAACAATATTCTGCATAACATACTCTTTGGTTCTTTCGGTAAAGTCACGTAGGTATAAAATAAAATAAATCACGACGTTTCGATCGCAACACAAGCGGTCGTCTTCAGGCGGAAAACATCTAATCCAGCAGTGGAGCTGCTGTATAACAGGCAACGTTTCGGGCCATGGCCCTCTTTCAGAGCACGTAAATGATTCTAGATTTGAAGCTTTCGTGACTGCAAGGATTCATATTCTTAGGTTTTTTTGATGAAAGTCACGTAGGTAAAAATTAAAATTAATAAAAGTAAAATAAAAAAAAAATCACGACGTTTCGGAGGCAACACAAGCTTCCGTCTTCAGGTGGAACCGTCACAGCACGATAGCTGTATCACTTGATACACACGATAGCTGTATCGCTTGACACAGCTATCGTGCTGTGACGGTTCCACCTGAAGACGGAAGCTTGTGTTGCCTCCGAAACGTCGTGATTTTTATTTTACTTTTATTAATTTTAATTTTTTACCTGCGTGACTTTACCGAAAAAACCTAAGAGCACGTAAACGATTCCCGTTGGCACGGGACCCGACTGCCGCGTGCCGCACGCCAGATGTTCCACAGGTGCCAGCGCTCCGTCCAGGCGCTGCAGAACCGGGCGCGCGGGCGCGGCGAACAGGAGCGCCGCATCCTCGCCAACGTGGTGAGCTCGCTGGCGCAGGGACTCCAGGAGCTGTCCACCGCGTTTCGCCACACGCAGTCCGGATACCTGCGCCGTGAGTAGTGCCGCCCCCACGCCAGGGCCCACCGCATCACGCTCCCTCCCGGTGTGTGCGGGACGCTTGCCACGCGTTTTTTTTTGCCGGTTACCGGGTTTCCCCGAGGTGGTTTTGAGTCGACACCGCCCCTGGCCCCGGTGAGAGAATGCAAGAGGCCAGGATGAGTATCGTTTGAGTGGGTGGATGGTCGAGTGAGATGGTGAGTGAGTGAGTGGGTGAGCGGGCGGGCGATGTTTACACACCGTCACTCGGTATAAATTTATGCTGAGTCGACTTAGGGGAGCCCCAGGACCGGTTCAGGTAATCGTCACCGGTGTTGGCCACTCGCACGCACTCCAGGTCACAACAACACTGGCCCACTCACTCACCTATCCAACTACTCACTCGCACACCAAGTTATCCACACTTTAACATGCCACATTGCAGGTCACAACAACATACACTCACCCACCCACTCACTCACCCACCCACCCACCCACTCACTCACCCACCCACTCCCCCACCCACTCACCCACCCACTCACTCCCCCACCCACTCCCCCACTCACTCACTCACTCACCCACCCACCCACCCACTCCCCCACCCACCCACCCACCCACTTCCCCACTCACCCACCCACTCCCCCACCCACCCACCCACTCACTCACTCACCCACCCACTCCCCCACCCACTCACTCACCCACTCATTCACCCACTCACCCACCCACTCACTCACCCACTCACCCACTCACACTGCCGAACCGCGGGGAGAACACACGCACGCAGAAAGGCGCCCCTGCTCGGGGCTCGAACCCAGCCCCCCCCCCCTCCTTGCCACAAGACGCGAGCGTCGCCACTGCCTTGGCACGGCTTTGACCCCTGACCCTGACCGCGACCTTGACCCCCGACCCTGACCGTGACCTTGACCCCGCAGGAATGAAGAACCGTGAGGAGCGCTCGCAGGTCCTCTTCAGCACGGGGGGACCGCTCATGGAGGAGACGGAACCCGACGACCTCTACGACCGCGTGAGTGCGGCACCCGCCGACCCGTGCGGTGCTCAGTCTGTGCGGTGGTGGACATGCGGGGTGCCCGCGGTGGGTAGGGGGGGGGAGTGGTGGGGGGGGTAAGAGTCGTTCTGCATGGTGGTCGTTGCGGTGCGGTTGTGTGCGGCTCTGGCCGTTGCTGAGAGCGGCAGTTGTCGTGTTGCTGTGGTGTGGTCGCGATGGTGCGTTGTGCGTGTGTGCGGTTGTGCGATTTCAATGGTTATACTGGTAGGAACCTCCTGGTTACACCAGCCCACAGGGGATTATTGTGTCTGTCCGTCGTGCAGGGAGGGGCTGGGTGGGGAGGGTGGGAAGGGGCTGGGTGGGGAGGGGAGGGGCTGTGTGGGGAGGGTGGGGAGGGGCTTGGTGGGGAGGGTGGGGGTGGGAGGGGTGGGGCTGGGTAGGGAGGGGCTGGTCACCCCGTGGTGCCCTTGTAAAACTCAACGTTTAACCTACTCACGCTGGCTTGTGCCCGCCCTCACAGTCCGCCATATTTGCGGAATACACCACGCCGCCGTTGACCCTGGCCATTGACCAAGCAACCCAACGTTCCTACCAGCTCCCTCCGCAGGAATGTGTCGTGCGGCTGCAGTGGTTGCCGTGCGGCCGCGGTGGTTGTTGTGTGGTTGTTGTTGTTGTTGTGCGATCGTGGTTTGTCGCCGTCGTTGTCCGGTTGTCGTCGTGGTGCGATTTCAGTGGTTCACTGAGGAGCAGCTGCAGCTGGTGGAGGGCAACACGGAGATGGTGGAGGAGCGAGAGCGCGAGATCCGTCAGATTGCGCAGTCCATCTCCGAGCTCAACGAGATCTTCCGCGACCTCGCACACATGGTGGTGGAGCAGGTGACTCGCATTGTCAACATCATCGCGCCGTCGATGTCTTCGTTACCACCGTCATGACCACTGAGCGGCACTCGCACCACAGGTGTCGACATCGCGACGGCAGTGGTCGTTGTCATTATCGCCACCAATCTTTGCCGTCGTCATCTTCAACATCCTCTTCATCGTCGTCGTTATTGTCATCATTGCCGTTCTCGTAATCATCGTTATCATTGTCATCCTCGTCGTCGTCGTCATCATCATCGTTGTTATCACCATGATCATTATCATCATCGATCTGTGCTCATCATCGTCCTCATTGGCGTTATCGTCGTCCTCATCGTCCTTATCATTATCGCCGTTATCGTCATCTTCGTCATCATCGTCAACATCATCATCGTCAACAACATCATCGTCCTCATCGGGACGAGGAGGTGGACGAGGAGGTGGACGAGGAGGTGGACGAGGAGGTGGACGAGGAGGTGGACGAGGAGGTGGACGAGGAGGTGGACGAGGAGTGACTCGTGGCCGGCGTTGTCCGTTCTCCCCCAGGGCACGGTGCTCGACCGCATCGACTACAACGTGGAGCAGTCGTGCGTCAAGACGGAGGAGGGGCTCAAGCAGCTGCAGAAGGTGACCCCGACACACGACTTGGTTCCTGACCCTGACTCTAACCCTGAGACTAACCCTGACCCTGACCTGATAATTGACCCTGACTCTAACCTTGAGACTAACCCTGACCCTGACCTGATAACTGACCCTGACTCTAACCCTGATACTATCTCTAACCCCCGACCCTGACCTGATCCTGGTTCCAGAGGTCTGTTGGCAAGTCGATTTGTTTCACAAGTTCAACTTGACTCCTGTCGACTCCAAACGCGTTGTACGGCACGTACACTAAACACGGGCCTTTAAACGTCGTATAATCTCCTGTAGATGTAGATGCCGCTGGTTCTTCACGTTCTGCAGATGTAGATGCCACCACCATCGCCATCTATTGCGCGGCGGTCGAACTTGCGCCTCTCGGTCCGAACAGGCAACTGGACATACGGACAGCTTTGTGTGTATCTCTGAAAGTTCCTGAGTCGAACGATCGTAAGTAGAGAAGTCCCTGTACCTTCTGAAAGATGCCTTCCATTCATTGTAGACGCACAGTAGGGGGCAGCACTTTCCCACTCGTCCTACCGCAGAGGATCCACGTCAATGCGAGTCGTTGACTATCTGACGGCTGGAATGTTTCCACATTAAGTGCAGAAGCAGATTAGTACATATCGTGGGGACCTTTCCCGCTCGCAACGACAGAAAACTCGTCCACATGTCCGTGCGTCTGTGCGTCTGATAATCCTTGCGTCTGTTGCATCAGTGTGCCTGTGCGTTCCGTGTGTGTCTATGTGTCCGTGTATCAGTGTGTCTGTGCATATGCATCTGTTTATCTTTGTGTCTGTTGGGTCCGTGTGCCTGTGCATCTGTGCGTGTCGATGTGTGTCCGTGTTGTCTGTAGCGGTTAGTGCGCTGCGCTACGAACCTGGCAACCCGAGTTCGATTCCCGCTCACGGCCAACACCGGGGCGACGATTAGCTGAATCGGTCATGGCCCTCCCCTAGGTCGACTCAGCCTTAAACGAGTACCTGGTGCGGTGTGTGAACATCGCCACTGGGGAGACAAAGGTGCTGGCCACCCACCCCCTCGTGTGCCGTGCCGCCCTTCATAGGTGCAACTCGCTAACAGCACTTGCCCCCACGGTCTGTTAAGGCTATACGGGGGATCTTTGCATTCGTCTTTGCGTGTCTGTGCGTCCGCGTGTCTGTGCGTCCGCGTGTCTGTGCGTCCGCGTGTCTGTGCGTCCGCGTGTCTGTGCGTCCGCGTGTCTGTGCGTCCGCGTGTCTGTGCGTCCGCGTGTCTGTGCGTCCGCGTGTCTGACACTCGGTATGTGGCATCAGCTGACAGCCGTGAGACAGGGCGACCGCAGTGTCGTGGGCGAATTGAGAGGTTGTGGAAGGCGGGGGGCCGGTGGGCGGGGGGGGGGAGCGGTGGGACGGAGGGGCGCAGATACAGGTGTTACAGGTGTTACAGGTGTGCCAGGTGTCCCAGGTGTGTCAGGTGTGCGACACTCACGGCAATAGGGGAAGGGCAGTGGTGGTGGTGGGGGGGGGTGGCTGGGGGAGGAGGGGGGGGGCAGCACCTGGCGGATTTAGATGGCGCCGCGGCAACTCGCGACCTCCGCCCTATGCGTGTGACGAGTTCGACACCGCCCCTGACCCCCTCCCTCTGCCCGTGCGAGGGGAGGTGGGGGGGTGGGCGTTGAGTGACATCTGGACAGCGACCCCCTCCCTACCCCCCCCACCACTGCAGTTTTGTATTCATGTGGCAGGGTGACGGCAAAGGCAGGGGTCTGGCAAAGGGGTCCTCGCATAGAGTTCTGACAGCAGGGGCGTGACACCTTAGAGCAGGGGTTGCATGGGGTGGCAGGGAAGTGGTGCAGTGGTAACTCTGGAGCCTCACAGCTGTAGTGTGAGTGTGTGTGAGTAAGTGTGGAGTTTGTGCGTTCTCCCCCTGTTCTGTAGTGTTGAGTGTGTGTGAGTAGGTGTGGAGTTTGTGTGTTCTCCTCCTGTTCTGTAGTGTTGAGTTTGTGTGAGTAAGTGTGGAGTTTATGTTCTCCCCCTGTTCTGCAGTGTGAGTGTGTGGGTGGGTGTGTGAGTGTGTGGGTGGGTGTGTGAGTGTGTGAGTGTGTGAGTGAGTGAGTGTGTGAGTGTCTGAGTGAGTGTGAGTGAGTGTGTGTGTGAGTGAAGAGGAGTTGGAGACGCTGCTGCTGAGACTGGAGCGTGCCACTAAGAGGTGGGTGGGGCCTTACCATCAGCAGTTGTAGAGAGAGTGGAGAGTTTCCCATACCTGGGCAGTATGCTTATGACCGGCTCCAGTTTATCAGCAGAGGTCTCACTCCGAATCAGTCGAGCGGCAATATCTTTTCATCGGTTGCGTAACGCTGTGAGGAAGCTACCTGGTCTGTTGCTCCGCACGAAGCTTCAGGTCTTCTCGGCCACGGTTATTCCCTCCCTTCTCTACGCTTGCGAAACATGGATCCCCCTAGTGGAGCATCTTTGCCGGCTGGAAACATTTAGGCTGCCCTGCCTACGATCCATCCTGGGTTTAACCAGGCTGGATTGTGTGAGGAGCTCACAAATCCTTGAAAGATCTGGGCAAAGTCCCATCGGTGAGCTCCTCCGGCAGGCAAGGCTGCGTTGGCTGGGTCATGTAGCCCGCATGCCCAGCCACCGCATGCCTAAACAGCTTTTGTTCGGCCGGATCGAGGGGGCTAAACGGCGCGGCACGGGCTAGAGAAGAGATGGAGTGATGTGGTAAGAGGACGTGGAGCTGAGTGGACTTGCCGATGACTGGTACCAGCGGTGTCAAGATCGGCCTCAGTGGAGGAGGCTCGTGAAGGACGCTACTGGGCAGTTGGAGGCAGTCGCCCTCCAGCAACAACGGAGGGCGGAGGAGCGACGCTCACAACAACGAGCGGCGTACCGGGTGGCTTAAGCGCAGCAAGTTGGTACAGTAGGGGGCACAGGTGGTGCATCAGCCAGTCATCTCAGTCATCTCGGTCAGTCGACCCGTGGCACCTGCTGGGTCTGCCCTGTAACCTCCTGCCAGCGGGCGTTCGACACTTCACGTGGCCTCAAGGTGCACTTGGCCTGGCACAAGCGTCGTGTGGACGTCACTTAGTGGCGAATGGCGGTTGTTGTTGTTGTTGTGTGTGTGAGTGAGTGTGTGTGTGAGTGAGTAAGTGTGTGTGAGTGTGTGTGAGTGAGTGTGTGAGTGAGTGTATGTAAATCTTGTATATTCTCCCCCATATTCTGCATGGGTTTCTTTCGGGTTCTCCGGCCTCCCATCGCGAAACACACACACACACAGACGTAACACAGTGCAACCGGTATCAACCAAAACATCCCAATCGCTGACATTTCCCTGAAAATTACTACCACAGCAAAACCCTGGCAGGGCCCATCCTGAAAAAAATAATCTTGAGACTCGGAGAGGCTTTCTTGGGTAAACAAGCATAAAAAAATAACTTAAAAAAATATTCCACTTGTTTACCCAGAGGAGCCTCAAGACTCGCTTGTCCTGGGTCTCCCCTAGGTCGACTCAACCTTAAATGAGCATCATCAGCACAAGCCTGGTGTTTGCCACACCACACCCGCCCTCCCTTCGTGCACCGTGCCGGCCTTAATAGGTGCTCGCTAACAGCACTTGCCTCACCAACCTGAAAAGCCTTTACGGGTGGCCTTTGTCTTTGTGTGTATGTACATTACGCAAATTTGCCTGTTGACGCCTATGCGTTTTAAGACACGATTTTGAAAACTGTGCGTTTACATGTGCATTGGGGGGGAGGGAGCAGTGGCACAGTGGATAGTGCACTGCGCTCTGCACCCGGCAATCCTTGAGTTCCATGTTCCACTCACGACCGACATCGGTGGCGAATATGCGCACCGGTGCGCGCGTGTGCGTCACGTGCCTGTGTGTGCGTCGCGTGTGTGTGTGCGTCACGTGCCTGTGTGTGTGCGTGTGTGCGTGTGTGTGCGTCACGTGCCTGTGTATGTGTGCGTGTGTGTGCTTCACGTGCCTGTGTGTGTGCGTGTGTGTGCGTGTGTGTGCGTCGCGTGCGTTTGCAGGCCGAGACGTACCAAAAGAAGAACCGGAAGATGCTCGCGATCCTCCTCCTCTTCGTGATCCTCGTCATCATGATCCTCGTCCTGGTGGGGACCAAGGGGAGATAACGGGGCGGGCCGGCGCCCCCCGGGGCCACCGCGCCCCCCCCCCCCCCGTGCACCAACGTGACGACGCGTGCTGAGCATCGCTCTATTTATTGGATGTAAATTTCCCGTCGGCGCTTGCCTCCCAATACCCCGCCCCCTCGCGCCCCCCCCCACCGACCCCGCCCCCTCCCTCCCCCCCCGCCCCCCCACCAACCCCACCTCCTCCCTCCGCACCCCCGGCCCACGACAGGCGCCAGAAATCGCCGAACTTCCGAACGACCGAAGCACCGCCGGGTTCATAATGGCCGGCCGGTGGAGGGGATGGGGGGGGAGAGGAAGCCTTGCAACCTTGTGCGGCGTTTGGACATGTCGGGGGTACGAGGAGGGAGTGAGGAGGGGAGATGGGTAAAGATTTGCGGGGGGGAGGAGGCGGAGGGGGGTGGGGGCCGTGTCTGACCGTGGTGCCGGTAGCTTGCGGGTCGTCTGATGCCTCGTTTCCCTGACCCAACGAGGGGGGTGGTGGTGGTGGTGGACACTGGGTTTTGGTCAACCCAGGATTGGCCCCGTTCCGGCCCAGATATGGCACCAGGGCCCAGGGTCAGAGTTCGCAGACTCCTGCTCCATGCGGTCCCGTCCCTGTCCTCCCTTTACGCTTCTCAGCAAAGGGGGTTGGGGTCTGGAATACATCTTTAGGTTAACGTATTCATCTACGTGGAGATCTGTTCCGTGAATCGATTGTTCCGTGTCCGAGCGAGAAGTTTGGCGGCAATGGGTACCCCAAGTCTGACCTTTCTCGAAGCGATATTCAGCCTTGAGGGGCAATGGAATTCTTATACCGTTTTTTTTTTTCCACTGGCACATCCAAGCCGAGCCAGCACGCTGCCCTCGCGGTACAAGTTGTTTTTTCCACTCGATATTCACCGAGCCAAGCCGGAACCAAACTTTGATTCGCTGGCATTGCACGGCACGGCGCGGCTTTCTGTAGTGGAGAAAGCAACCCGGCCCGACTTCCTGAGCCGCACAGGGCCAACTCTGCACGGCTCTGTTGCGCCGGTGGGGAAAAAAAGTGGGTGGTTGACGGTATCGCCAGTGCGGTCACGGGGTCTGGTGGTGGGACCGAGGCAGGAGGTATAGAGGGGCAGCTGGGTTCTGTTCCGAATTGGGTGCGAAGGTTTTAACCAAATACACGGGCAACCAAGAGATGCATGTGGTGGTGCTTGTTGTGTCTAGGGGAAGATGGGTTATTTTTGTGAATATATGGGGGAAGTTAAAGATGTACAAGAGATGTGTAATTATCCTTTGGCTCGGAGAGGGAGGGGGAAGTACGGCATCTTGTTGTTTTGCTTTGTTTTAATTGTGACTTTAACGTGAACAAATAATTCATGAAGTTGACATTCCACTGGGTGGGTCGTGGGGTCACACGGTGACACGGTACGGCCACGCCCCCCCAATGCGAGTCATCCACACAGCGAGGGTCGCCCTCGTCCCCCGTGGGTTGCTGGCTCGCTCACTCGCCCACGTGTGGACGGGGCGACTCGTCGTGGCGAGCGACCCACGCGGAGACTCGAGCAACTCGCATTGAGGTCGCTTGGGGCTTCCAGCGAGTTGCTCGCTCGCACGAAGACCGGAAGGGCGACTCGCAGCTAATCGCCTGCCCCCCCTTGCCCTTTGCGAGTCGCTCACCTTCCACACCAGTCGCTCCGTCTGCGCGCGACTCGCTCGGCCCTCGCTAGAGTGGCTCTGTCACTCGATCAATGGCTCGCGCATCAAGCGAGTCGTCCGCTCGTTAATCTCTCGTCGAGTCGCTCGATCTCAACCGCCGCTCGCCCGCTCGCTTGCTCGATCGCGTCCACCCACCCAGTCCCCGCGGCGTCCGATCTCCCCGCTGCGGCGTCGGGATCGAGACGTGGGCGGGTCACATGACTGCCAGGGCCGCGGCGGTGGAATATGCCGTGCGATGAATGTCTTGTCGTTGTCGGCGCTGCCTGTAAATCCTCATCGTGTTGCGTAACCCGCGTGTCCGTAGCGTGGAGGGCCGCAAATCATTTGTCTAATTTATCCGCCCCCTGTAACGGGCTGCCACGTGAGCCGCTTGCGGTTTAATAAACGGGCACGCTCCGTCGCGACTCCGCTGTCTCGCTCCCGCTCTCTCTCGCGGCGTGTCCGTCCACCCGCCAGTCCGTCCTGGTTTGGTTGGCTTGCACGTGTCATGGTCCATCAAGTTATCGATGGCTGAAGTAATTTACTACTAAAGTAATGCATTACTAAAGTAATGAATTCTACAGATTATCGGTGCCATTGCTCGACTTAAAAACACCGGCAATATTTTCAATTTTAAGCTTTGCGTGACTGCAGGGATTCATCTTCTTGGTTCTTTCGGTAAAGTCACGTAGAAGGGAAATAATAAAAATAAAACATCATAAAATACAATTCTCTCGACGTTTCGGCGACAACACAAGCAGCCGTCAGGTTAAGACAGCTGTCTTTCAGAGCTGTCTTTCAGACAGCTCTGTCTTCACCTGAGGACGGCTGCTTGCGTTGTGGCCGAAACGTCGTGAGAATTTTATTTTATTATGATTTATTTTTATTATTTTATTAGTTCCCTTCTACGTGACTTTACCGAAAGAACCAAGAAGACCAGCAATCTTGTACCCATGGCTACACCACGGAAAAGGACGTTCGAGTCAAGGGTGTAGCAACGCATGGGTGAAGAGAGAGAGGAACGGGAAGAGAGGGGAGGAAGAATGGGAAATGAGAGGAAGAGGATGGCAGAGGAAGGGATGAACGGGAGCTTCCACGTTGCTGCTGCACGGAGGAGGAGCGGCGTCTGTTTTCGCAGTGGGTGGTGATGGGGGAGAGGGGCGGGGGTTCAGAGTGGGGGTGGCCACACAAGCCACGTGAGTTACAGGAGGCTTGAGCTGATGTAGAAAGGTGAATATTGGCAAAACGGGATGCCCATAGACTAACATGGAGAAAACGGAATTCCCATAGACTAACATGGAGAAAACGGAATGCCCATAGACTAACATGGAGAAAACGGACTGCCCATAGACTAACATGGAGAAAACAGAATGCCCATAGACTAACATTGAGAAAACGGAATTCCCATAGACTAACATGGAGAAAACGGAATGCCCATATACTAACATGGAGAAAACGGAATTCCCATAGACTAACATGGAGAAAACGGAATGCCCATAGACTAACATGGAGAAAACGGAATGCCCATAGACTAACATGGAGAAAACGGAATGCCCATAGACTAACATGGAGAAAACGGACTGCCCATAGACTAACATGGAGAAAACGGAATGCCCATAGACTAACATTGAGAAAACGGAATTCCCATAGACTAACATGGAGAAAACGGAATTCCCATAGACTAACATGGAGAAAACGGAATGCCCATAGACTAACATGGAGAAAACGGAATGCCCATAGACTAACATGGAGAAAACGGAATGCCCATAGACTAACATGGAGAAAACGGACTGCCCATAGACTAACATGGAGAAAACGGAATGCCCATAGACTAACATTGAGAAAACGGAATTCCCATAGACTAACATTGAGAAAACGGAATGCCCATAGACTAACATGGAGAAAACGGAATGCACATAGACTAACATGGAGAAAACGGAATGCCCATAGACTAACATGGAGAAAACGGAATTCCCATAGACTAACATGGAGAAAACGGAATGCCCATAGACTAACATGGAGAAAACGGAATTCCCATAGACTAACATGGAGAAAACGGAATGCCCATAGACTAACATTGAGAAAACGGAATGCCCATAGACTAACATGGAGAAAACGGAATGCCCATAGACTAACATGGAGAAAACGGACTGACCATAGACTAACATGGAGAAAACGGAATGCCCATAGACTAACATTGAGAAAACGGAATTCCCATAGACTAACTTTGAGAAAACGGAATGCCCATAGACTAACATGGAGAAAACGGAATGCCCATAGACTAACATGGAGAAAACGGACTGCCCATAGACTAACATGGAGAAAACGGAATGCCCATAGACTAACATTGAGAAAACGGAATTCCCATAGACTAACATTGAGAAAACGGAATGCCCATAGACTAACATGGAGAAAACGGAATGCACATAGACTAACATGGAGAAAACGGAATGCCCATAGACTAACATGGAGAAAACGGACTGCCCATAGACTAACATTGAGAAAACGGACTGCCCATAGACTAACATTGAGAAAACGGAATGCCCATAGACTAACATTGAGAAAACGGACTGCCCATAGACTAACATTGAGAAAACGGAATGCCCATAGACTAACATTGAGAAAACGGAATGCCCATAGACTAACATTGAGAAAACGGAATGCCCATAGACTAACATGGAGAAAACGGAACTTCATGTTTCAGGAGGTGAGATGTTCACTCTCTCGCCTGGCATGCAGGAGGTCGTGGGTTCGATCCCGACCCTGACGCCTGCTGTGTATTTGGAGTTGGCGTCTCTCTCTCCGTGGCGAGATGTTAACTCCCTCGCCTGGTATACAGGAGGTCGTGGGTTCGATCCAGACTCTGACGCCTACTGTGCATTCGGAGTTTGCGTGTCTCTCTCCCCGTGGTCGCGTGGATTTTTCTTCCGATCTCCCGGTTTACCCCCCTCCACGTTGGGAATCGAATCAACATCGCGCGTTTCAGAGGATTTGACTGCCGTGCATTTTCACACGACGGCAAAGCCGCCACTTCGTTGGGGCTGTCGTTTGTGCGTGGTGCCTGGTGGCTTCTGAAAATGAATAAGTAATATTTTTAAAAAACTTTTTAAAAAACACGCTTTCATCAAATGTACCGTACTAGCAATGGAAGAACTCCACGACTCCAGGAAGTGACCCCGAAGCTTGCCATAACATTATGGACCGTGGCCAATTACAGCCAACGTGAGTTGAGCGTGGACAATTAGACCCAAGCCGAAACATAACATATAAAAAATAATGTTTCAATATGCAGTATATTTATTTTTCATGATAGAATATAGTGTTGTCATCAGTATATGACATAAGTATACCAAGTTTGCATTCGATACCACATTGGGAAGTGGGTTAAAATTTAGTTACAAGATTTGAGGATACAACAACAACAGACAGAGTGAGTTAAATAAAAGCGTGTAAGACAATTAAACCCAAGCCGAAACATAACATGTAAAAAATAATGTTGAAAAATATTTTTTTCTATGATAACATATAGTGTTGTCACCCGTATGACATAAGTATACAAAATTTGCAGTCGATACCACATTGGGAAGTGGGTTAAAATTGAGTTACACGATTTGATACAACAACAGACAGAGTGAGTTAAATAAAAGCGTGTAGAAAGAGTGGAATAATAAAAAATAAAAAGCCACATACAGATTCAGTGGGCCTTGCCTGGTAAAAACTAAAAGTTTTACTTTTGACCAGGTGAGAACTCCCGAGAGAGAACGGGTCTCATTTGTCACGGCTCTCATTTGCAAAGAGTGGGGTCAATCGATCATGTGAAGCGATGTGTAGGGGATATGCATCATCGGTGCAAAAACAACGAGAAAATGTGGCACAAACACGACCCGGTGTGAATTAGTGGACTCCCCCTACCCCCCTCTGTAGCGTGCAGAGTCGGCTGGGGCAGATTATAGTTTAGACTTGATCACAGCACAATTAGACAATTATGTTACGGGAACGCCAAACATCAATAGGTTGCCTCTTGTACAGCGCCTGGGGCGTTAACAGACGATTTGCTGATGCTGCCGATGCTGCGTTGGCAGTGGTGCACAATTAACAAAGCAATCCGCACTTTTATAATAGGTACGTTTCGGGCAATTGCCCTTTGTGAACGCGCTATATTAAAAAAAGGTGCATTGCCTGAAACGTCGACACGTCCTGTGAAGGCTAGTTTTTTAGTGTTCTTAGCAAAGGGCGGGGTAATTTTCGATTTAAAGCTTTCGTGACTGCAGGGATTCATCTTCTTGGTTCTTTCGGTAAAGTCACGTAGAAGGGAAATAATAAAATAATAAAAATAAAACATAAAAGAATTCTCACGACGTTTCGGCCACAACGAAAGCAGCCGTCTGCTTGCGTTGTGGCCGAAACGTCGTGAGAATTATTTTATAAAGTTTTATTTTTATTATTTTATTATTTCCCTTCTACGTGACTTTACCGAAAAAACCTAAGAATATGAATCCTTGCAGTCACGAAAGCTTCAAATCTAGAATTTACCGATAAAACCAAGAATAAAAAGGGCGGGGTTTGTGGGTGAGTGGGGGGCGGGGCTTGCTAACAAGGGGCGGGGCTTGTGGGCAAGGGTGCGTGTTTAGGGGCGGGGCTTGTGGGTGAGTGGGGGGCGTGATTGTGGGTAAGTGGGCGTGGCTATGCGGGCTAGGGGGCGGGGCTTGTTGGTGAGTGGGGGGCGTAATTGTGGGTAAGTGGGCGTGGCTATGCGGGTGAGTGGGCGGAGCTTGCGGGTATAAGGGCGTGGTCTGAGGGTCAGGGGGGTGGGGCATGTGTCTGAGGTGGAATTTTGGAGTGAAGATGGGCGGGGCTTGATATAGCGAGGTGGCGGTTGGTGGGCGGGGCTTGAGTGATAGGCGTGGCTTGGAGATAAGAGGCGGGGCTTGCGGGGTGATGGGCGGGGCTTGGAGATAAGAGGCGGGGCTTGTGGGTGAGGGGCGTGGTTTGGAGATAAGAGGCGGGGCTTGGAGATAAGAGGCGGGCTTGGAGATAAGAGGCGGGGCTTGCGGGCGAGGGGCGTGGCTTGGAGATAAGAGGCGGGGCTTGCGGGTGAGGGGCGTGGCTTGGAGATAAGAGGCGGGGCTTGGAGATAAGAGGCGGGGCTTGGAGATAAGAGGCGGGGCTTGGAGATAAGAGGGCGTGGCTCGCAGGTGTTGCATTATTAACGCATGCGTGCGTTCGCTCACTCAAACACATCCACGCGCATTCACGGCCGTGCACGACACTCATTTATTTATACATTGGTAAGACTTTCGCGTACGGACGACACGGCGTGGCGAGACCTGTATCCATCCAGCAGTGGATTTAATCGGCAGAGCACAGTAAGTTAAACATTTCACGGGTCGCAAGCGTTAACATTTATTAAGCGTGGCGGGGTATGGTGACGTTCATACAACATTTACACACCGACACTGTACGTGTTTCATCCAGCAGTGGATGGTAACGCAAGGTTATGACTTCGGCACTGTACTCACAATTCAATACTGGCACGTACACGCGCATTTACACGCTAATCGCACGCATTTATACTCGCACTTACACACAATCACACGCGTTACAGACATATTTACTAATATTTAAGCACAATCGCACACACCCACGCTTACACATAAACAACAAGACAAAGATCCCCCGTGTAGCCTTAACAGACTGTAGGGGCAAGTGCTGTTAGCGAGAACCACGCCCGGCCGCCTTTGTCTCCCCAGTGGCGATGTTCACACGCCGAAACCGGGTACTCATTTGAGGCCGAGTCGATCTAGGGGAGGCCCAGAACCGATTTGGTTACAGGTTTGGAGCGCAGCGCGCTAACCACTACGTTGCCGCTCCCCCCCCCCCCCCCGACACACATTAAACACATTCACAACACAACAAAGACACATTAACATGCACATCAATAATACACACGCTTACACATACAGTACATACTTTACATACAAATGTATCGACCTTAGACTGTTGTGAGGCGAGCCGTTAGCGAGCACATTTACACACCGACACATACAATCACACACACAAAGACAAAGGTCCCCCGTGTAGCCTGAACAGACTCTCGGGGCAAGTGCTGTTAGCGAGCACCGATGAAGGCTGGCAACACCACGCCCGGCCGCCTTTGTCTCCCCAGTGGCGATGTTTACACACCGCACTAGGTACACATTCGAGGCTGAGTCGACCTAGGGGAGGCACAGCAACCACTACACTACCGCTCCCCACACACACACAGACTTGTACACACATTGACACACGCATTTACAGACACATTGGCACACACACATTGACACACACATGTAATCGTATACATTAACACACATGTTATTACACATGTAATTACGCACATTGACACACATTGACACATACACATGTAATCACACACACTGACACACGCATTGACACGCACACACTGGCACACACAATGACACACACAATGACACACACATGTACTCACACACAATAACACACATTGATACACACTGACACCCAATAACACACACACATTGACACACATACTCACACACAATGACACACACATGTACTCACACACACATTGACACACACACATGTACTCACACACATTGACACACACACTGATACACACTGACACACACATTAACACACAAACAATAACACACACATTGACACATACACGCACTCACACACACAATGACACACACTGACACACAATAACACACACGTACTCACACACACAATGACACACACTGACACACAATAACACACACGTACTCACACACACAATGACACACATGTACTCACACACACAATGACACACACACAATAACACAAATTGACACACACACAATAACACACACACTGACACACAATAACACACACACTGACACACTGACACACACACATGTACTCACATACACATTGACACACACATGTACTCACACACACAATGACACACACTGATACACACTGACACACACACAATAACACACACATTGACACACACATTGACACACACACATGTACTCACACACACAATGACACACACTGATACACACTGACACACACACAATAACACACACATTGACACACACATTGACACACACACATGTACTCACACATGTACTCACACACACAATGACACACACTGATACACACTGACACACACACAATAACACACACACATTGACACACGTACTCACACACACAATGAGACACACGTACTCACACACACATTGACACACACACACATTGAAACACACTGATACACACTGACACCCAATAACACACACACATTGACACACGTACTCACACACATTGACACACACATGTACTCACACACACATTGACACACACACATGTACTCACACACATTGACACACACACTGATACACACTGACACACACATTAACACACAAACAATAACACACACATTGACACACACACATGTACTCACACACACAATGGCACACACTGATACACACTGACACACAATAACACACACAATAACACACATTGACACACACACATGTACTCACACACATTGACACTCACACACACAATAACACACACACATTGACACGTACTCACACACACAATGACACACACATGTACTCACACACACATTCACTCACACATGTACTCACACACACAATAACACACACACATTGACACACACACACATTGACACACACACACATTGACACACGTACTCACACACACACAACCCCCCCCTCACCCCCACCGCGGCTGTCAGCTGACGCTCGCGTCACGTGGTGGCTCGGCTCACCACCCCCTCTCCCCTCTCTCTGTGGAAGCGCAACGGGGTCCGTGCGAGGGGGGTACCCACCAGACCCCGCAGGGAAGACAACAGCGGCCGGGACACGGACCCCAGAGACGCCGACGGGGTCGTGGGGGGCATGTGAGCCGTGGGACTCCGATCGGGGGTCCAATCTCCGCAGCCCTCGCCACCCTCCGAGGATGTCGGCGGCCGCGGCTGCAGCGGAGCCGGCGAGGGATGTCGTGGGAGGAGGAGGGGGTCCCTACGGCCAAGGGGACTCAGCCGAGGGGGGCCCCTTACCGCTCGAGGCCGTGCTCCGAGCCTACGAGCAGCCCATCAACGAGGAGCAGGCGTGGGCCGTGTGCTTCCAAGCCTGCCGGGTCCTGGCCGCGACCCCCTCTGGCGGCGGCGAGGGGGCCCGCGACCCCGGCGGCGGCGGTGGCGCGGGGAGCTCGGCTCGACCCCGTCTGCACCTCGCGGGGCCCCACGGGGTGCTGCTGCACAGGGACGGTGCCGTGCAGTGCGTGCTGCAGCCTCGAGGTGTGTGGGGGGGGGGTGCCTTGCCCCCACCCTTGCCCTCACCCCCCCATCCCTTGCCCTCACCCCCCTTGCCCCCCCCCTTGCCCCCCATTCCTTGCCCCCCCCACCCCTTGCCCCCCCCCCACCCTTGCCCCCCCCACCCCTTCCCCCCCATCCCCCCCCATCCCTTGCCCCCCCCCATCCCTTGCCCCCCACCCCTTGCCGCCCCTTGCCCCCCCGCCCCTTGCCCCCCCCACCCCTTGCCCCCCCCACCCCTTGCCTTGCCCCCCCCGCCCCTTGCCCCCCCCACCCCTTGCCTTGCCCCCCCCGCCCCTTGCCCCCCCCACCACTTGCCTTGCCCCCCCCCCACCTCTTGCCCCCCCCCATCCCTTGCCTTGCCCCCCCCACCCCTTGCCTTGTCCCCACCCCTTGCCCCCCCCCACCCCTTGCCTTGCCCCCCCCACCCCTTGCCTTCTCCCCCATTGCCCCCTTCTTGCCCCCCCGATTTCCCGTCTCGTGTTTGTTGTTGTTGTTGTCTTTGTTTGTTTGGCTGCCCTTCCCTTGCCGCCTTGCCCTCCCATCCATTGTTTACCTCTTCACCTCGCCCTCCGTGCATTGTGTTCTCGTCTTAACCCTCAAGACTATTGGCTTCTCTTTCTCCCTGCCCATGCCCATGCCCCCCGGCCTTGCCCTTCATCTGTTGCCTACTCGGGCAATGCTCTTGCCTCGACCCCTCGCTGCCCAACCTTGCCCTCCGCGTCTTGCTTGCCCCCAATACCTTGACCTCAATACACTGTCTTCTTGTCTTGCCCTCTATATCAGCTGCCCATTTCCCTCGGCTGCCCTTCCCTTGCCCCTTGCCTTGCCCACTCCCCCCTCTGCCCTGCCATACCCATTTCCCTGCCAGCCTTGCCCTCCATGTATTATCGCTTTCTGCATGTCTTGCCCAGCCTGCGTGCCTTTGTCACACGACCCATGCAGCGTGGTACGGGGGGGGGGGGTTCATCCAGCAGTGGATTTGGTTTGACAGTTGCCTTGAATACCTAAACAACACCAGCAACTCGTTCGCATGTACCGTGACAGCTTACAGCCCTATGGTTTATCCACTGCTGGATGAAGGCCTCCTATCCCCGTGCTGTTGTTGGTCATGGTGGGTGTAGGGGGGGGGGTGCGTGGGGGTTGTTTGACCATACTTCACCACAGTGGTGAAGTTTGGGGGGGGGGGCACTGGACCCGTTCAGATATCAACAATTCTGGCCGCCGGGTTTATAGCGCGGTGCCATCCGACGCTAAGGCATGCACTAGTACAGTAATATAGGTGTTGAATCCAATACGATCTTAAAGGTTCCCTAACCATAGGGAAAGCCTCCGTGAGTCTGAAGACATTTCGTTTAGCGAAGGGTCCTGCTAACTTTAGAGTGAGTTGCTTTAGTGAATCCCAAATAAAGTTTTTTTGGGGGGTTAGATCACGCAAATATAAATGTGTCGTTAAACCCGCCACCACCCGCCATGGCCAATTATTGGTGAGGTTTGTCATGTAAACGTGACATTTCTCCTCCCTTGTTTAAGACCGAAACAGGGTGATTTCTCCACAACTCTGGCTGTCGCCTGATGATGCTGGTTGTAAATACCGGCGAAACGGCCGAACTCGGTGCAAATGTTGTGGGTTTACTCTCCGACACACCGGTGTGCTGTACTAGTAACAAATTGGCATGTTCTGTTGACGTGACAAATCTTACTAATTGGCTGTGTCGGGTGGTGGTGGTTATGGTGGGTTTAACTACACATTTATATTTACGCGATCTAACCCAAAAAAATACTTTATTATGGATGACATTGGTCGCGCGAGTCTACTACTACTACTACGTGTTAAACTTAGTGAATCGCTATCGTCCGTAAGAGTTTTTGGTGGCTTCTTGCCAGAGCCAGCCCGGACAACTCCGGAGAACTCCGGAGAAATGTGCAAAACTCCGCACAGATGGATTCGAGAATCCATTGCCGTACATTGCTCTCACTAGCCGCAGAGCACCTGCCATTGCAAGGTAGGCCCCGGTTACTGTACATGTTTCAAAGTACAGTACGACTAAACAGATGATGCCACGGTGCTTGGCTCATGAGGCCCGAGGTAGGGATAAAAAGGGCCCTTGCGTGAGTGGTGATTTGGTCAAATACCAGAGGTCGCAAACGGGTTTTGATTCCTTACCCGTGCCCGTACCCGGCCGCACCAGGGTCGCAAACGGCTACCCGTACCCGGCCGGGTATAGGTAGCCGTGTATCGGGTAGGGTACGGGTATCGGGTACCCGGTTGCGACCTCTGTCAAATACCCAACGACACAGCACATGGTGCTGACCTGTTGTAGCAATAACGGTGGTAATTTTTATTTAAACCACAACGGCGGTGCCGATCACGAGCCCGCTGTGGTTAATGAACGACGGCAAGCGATGATTTGACCACAGTCTTATTAGTGTTCTTCATTTTCGTATGGCTGATGGAAACCGTGATTTTGTTTTATTAGGTTGTTATATGTCGATGTAGTTTTGATGAGCCAGTGATATGGTGGCGCGTAAGGAGTGTCGCGAAGTGGTTGATGTTCCATCGCAGCTGTGACGACGATGCCTCCTCCTTCCGCCTCCACCTCCGTATTTGTGAATGGGGCATTGAGTCTTCGTCACAACCTTTCCATGGTTCTGTCCTGACGAAACAAAACATGAATAAGCTTCATTTACCCATTTCCGGCAATAATACGGAACGGGATAATTGTTTTTACCCTTCTATCTGGCAACAAAACTGACACCTTTTTTACAAGGAGTCATGTTTGCATAGACCACAATACCTGCAGTCATAATGCAAACAAAAACATAACTCTGATAATGTATGCACTGTCCTTGAAGTTGATTGGTCCACACCCGGAGACAGCTTTCCTTAGAGCCTAGTCTCACATGGTTTTGGACCAGATGACGCTAAAAGGCGCACAACTCAAAGATAATGCACCATCAGAGTATGAGAGCTCGGGGTTAAGCATTTACACCATTGGTTGCCAGATAAAAGGGTTAAAAACCAATTACCATATTTTTTACTGGCAAATGAGGTTCCAATGGTGTAAATACGGGACGTGTTAAGATGTTTGCCAGTGCAAACATGGAAGCATAAATAGCTCCGGTTGAGCAGTTACAGCTATGGGGACCATGATTTGCCGGTATTGAAATTATGACAAAAAGGAGAGGCGGTAACCTTTTTGGCAATAATAACACATCGTAAGTTTTCCCGCATCGTGCTTATGGTAAAACTTACAAAAGATACTGCGTGGATAATAATGTGTGCGTTGTCTTCGAAACGGATTGGCCTACGGCAGAAGTTGCCTTCTCTATGGTCTTGTCTCAAGGCCAAAAAGCGAACAGCACAAAGCCAATGCAAATATCAAAGCATTAATAGCTCGGATTGAGCAGTTATAACTACGCGACCCTTTTTGCCGGTTTGAAAATGATTAATCAATAATAGGCGTTACCCTTTCCCAGCAATAATAACGGGAATTGTCAAGATGTTTGAACAGGGTTCCATAGATTACCATCATTAAGTGTGACCGTGTCTGCTGATGCTGGTGCCGTGGTTTGTGTGGATGATTTGGTGTTGGGGTCGTGACCACCGTGAACCTGTAACCCACAATAACGATGACGCTCATCGTGAACCTGTGGTAACGATTCCAGCTCTGTTGTTCGTCTACCAAAGTGCGTCTTGGAATCAGTGGGGAGTGGTAGTGCGGTGGTCACGGCCAACATCGGTGATGAATATCTGAACTGGTCCTGGGCCTCCCCTAGGTCGGCTCAGCCTCAAATCTGTATCTAGTATGGTATATAAACATCGCCACTAGGGAGGCAAAGGTGGCCGGGCGTGGTGCTGGCCACCCATCCCCTTCGTATGCCGAACTGGCCTTCATAGGTGATACTTGCCAACAGCACTTGACCCAAAAAGTATGTTGAGGCTATACGGGGGAGGGGGGGTGGTGGGCATCTTTGTCTTTGTCCTGTAAATAATCATGTGGGCTTTGGTCTACCGTTGTCGTGAGTTTCTCTGGGGCGGCTGTAAAACAAACAAACAAAAATCATGGGGTGGAGTTCGCATTCCCACAATTATAAAAAAAAAACTGCAGAGTACAGAACAAAGCTGAGAAATCCAAGCGCGCTCGTCGATAGCAACATCAGCACCACCGTGAGTGAGTGAGTGGCCTTAAAAGGAACAAATATATCCGAGGCGACGTTTCAGGACAAAGGCCCTGCCTCATAGGAGCGAATGAGTGCACATGGGTGGCCTGACGATAATGACACATTCAACAACAATGTTTCCTGACGAACAGTTTGCCAAATACATTTTAATTTTAAGCTTTCGTGACTGCAGGGATTCATATTCTTGGTTCTTTCGGTAAAGTCACGTAGTGAAGGGAAACACTAAAATAATACAAATATTGTTTTATATTTTTATTATTTTATTGTAAAATTATTTTATTGTAAAATAATAAAAATATTGTTTTATATTTTTTTTATTTTATTGTAAAATTATTTTATTGTAAAATAATACAAATATTGTTTAATATTTTTATTATTTTGTTGTTTCCCTTCTACGTGACTTTACCGAAAGAACCAAGAATATAGTTTGCCAAATAGTCGAGTGAATCGTGACACTGTTAGTCCACGATCTCCCGAACACAGTTGGTTCACTCGCTACCCACGACTTTCCCTGTAACTGTTATTACACATTGATCGAACGAATGAGTCACTATTGAGTAACGGACAACCCCTTTAAATATACAGCATAACCGATGGTACATATGTTCTTTTTGAGGCCACCGTGTTATTGTCACCCGTCTGGATTTGTTTTTCTTTGCATTAACTGCGCTTGTGCAGTGGCAGCAGCAGCAGCAGCGGCGTTGCCAAATCCTACGTTGAACTTGTTATCCGCCGCGTCACCACGCTGCACAGTCAGGCCGCTTGTCACCCAGCCGCCCCCCCCCTTCCCAGCCCCCCCCACCCCGCTTAGCCCCCCGTTTACTTCTGTCAAGGGTCAACATTGACCTCGTGCTCACAGTAAGCATTGACGCATTCCAGAGCCCCCAGCTGTGACCCTGCATGCCCCCCCCCCACTGTGACCCTCCAGCTTTGACCTTGCATGCCCCCCCCACGGTGACCCCCCAGGGCCTCCCCACGTTGACCCTGCAGGGCCCCCATGTTGAACTTATTTATTTCGCACCGTACGTAAGCCAACCGTGCCAATCGGAGGCGCGACACTCTAACCCTCTTCTTGGTTCTTTCTGTAAAGTCACGTAGAATGGAAATAATAAAATAATAAAAAATAAAACATAATATTATGTTTTATTTTATATAATAATATGATGTTTAATTTTTTATTATTTTATTATTTCCATTCTACGTGACTTTACCGAAAGAACCAAGAAAGCTTTAAATCGGAACTCTAACCCTCGTTGCTTTACGGCCCTGTTTGGTGACAATTCCACATTCCCATGGCGCGGGGGTGTTGGCAAGGTCGTGGTGGTCGACCTTTAACCCCGCCACCCACGACCCAGGATCGCACCAATAACGGTGGCGTTTGCGTAACAATCCGCCGAATTTTCGGTTCTTCATGGAAATAACGGCAGGGGTAGAGGGGGCTAATCTAGCTGTGATGGTCCCACCTGATGACGGAGATTTGTGTTGCCTCCGAAACGTCGTGATTTTTATTATTATTTTATTTCTATTATTACTTTAATTAATTTAAATTTCATTTTTTACCTACGTTACTTTACCGAAGAGACTAAGAGTAGAGAGGGGGCTGTTGAGAAGTTGTATATATCAGGGGAGAGGGGAGGGGGGCGGGGGCTATACCACCACACCGACGATGTGGTTGTAGCGCTCTGCTATGCGCGACCAAATATTGTGGGTGTACACAACGTGTGTAGTGCATGCTCCTCCACCCAGACGCAGCCAATTGGTGTCCGCCGAACTTCTTTTGCACCATACGCAGCCGACCGTGCCCATTGGAGGTGCAGAGGAGGGACGACACAAGTTAAAGTAGGCACGCGGTGAACGAAACGGACGCAACGAGTTGATAAACGCTCCGCTACCCAGCCAGCGAGAAACTTCCTTGCCCAGTTGTTAATCGAGCGCACCGCTAGTGCTGCTCCTGCAGCTGCTGCTCCTGCTTAGGAAGCGATAAGTTGGTCACGTATATTTGTTAATGACGGGACAACTTCCTTGATGGGCCGCGACGGGTTGCAGGAGGGTTTACGACACACAATTTACTCGGACCGGCAATTGCAAATCCCTGCTGCCGCTTGGCCCGCGATCACGAAATTATCACTAATACTTTTCGCGGGAATATTAACCACAATTGCACCGTGCGAAATATTGCGCGAATACTGTACCAGTACGAACAATTTATAGTTCGATTGTTTGATCTGGCTTCTAACAGCATGCCCCCCTTGTGTGTGTGTCCATGCCCCCTGTCTGTATGCCCATGCCCCCTGTCTGTGTGTCCATGCCCCTGTGTGTGTGCCCATGCCCCCCGTGTGTGTGCCCATGCCCCTGTGTGTGCGTGCCCATGCCCCCTGTGTGCGTGCCCATGCCCCCTGTCTGTGTGCCCATGCCCCTGTGTGTGCGTGCCCAATGTCCCCATGCACTTCACAGACCCTGCAACTGGAGAAACAACTGAACCCTGCTCGGCAGAGGTGGAGGTGAGGTCACAACTCCACCCACGCCACCCCCCGCAACCCCTCCCCCCACAGCAGAAATCTGCGGACTCTCCCGCACTTGAAATCCGGTGTTATGAACACAAACATGGACTCGTCCATTCCAGAAATCTGCGGTACCATGGCTAAGCGCACCTTACAACTCCTTGGTCCGAAGGGGGGTGCCAAGGTGCTTCCACGGATTTCTTACTATGTCTCCTATGAAGTGTGACCGCGCACCTGTGCGGGTGTGGGTGCGAGTCCGGTTCCGTGCGTTGGTTTGCCGTGACCTCGGCTCTGTGAGCCGGGTGATTATCTCTGGAATCCCAATAATTTTTTAAAGTGTTTTGAGGTGGATTTGTCTGCTGCTCAAATGCAACGTCCTCTTCCTCGGGCTGTTGGTTAAGGTCAACGGGTCACAGGGTCAGGCCAAGGTTAGGGTCAGGGTGTGCGCTGGCGCGTGTAGAGGTGCGTACGCAGGAGGTCTTTGTACAGGTGTGTAGGTGTGTGTGTGTGGGGAGCGGTAGTGTAGCGGTTTGCGCGCTGCGCTACGAACCTGGCGACCTGGGTTCGATTCCCGCTCAAGGTCAAAATCAGTGACGATTAACTGAACCGGTCCTGGGCCTCCCCTAGGTCGGCTCAGCCTCAAATGAGTACCTGGTGCGGTGTGTAAACATCACCACTAGGGAGGCAAAGGCGGCCGGGCGTGGCGTTGGCCACCCACCCCCGTCATGTGCCGTGCCAGCCTTCATAGGTGCTCTCTAACAGCACTTGCCCCTACGGTCTGTTAAGGCTATACGGGGGATCTTTGTCTTTTTTGTGGGGAGCTGTGGCGCAGCGGTTAGCGCGCTGCACTACGAACCCCGGCGACTCGAGTTGGAGTCCCACTCACGGCCACCAACGCCACTGACGATTATCTGAACCGGTCCTGGGCGTTTCTTAGCTCGACTCTCAAATGAGTACCTGGTGCGGTGTGTAAAAACCGTGACGGGAGAGACAAAGGCGGCCGGGCGTGGTGCTGGCCACCCACCCCTCGTGTGCCGTGCCGGCCTTCATAGGTGCTACTCGCCAACAGCACTTGCCCCTACAGTCTGTTCAGGCTACACGGGGGAATCTTTGCCTTTACAGGTGTGTACATCGCTGCTGCATACACGCCTCTGTGTACATATGTGCACACACAAGTGTGTGTACAGCACGCGGTTCTGTCCTCCTCCTAGATCCGCTCAGCCAGAACATTTTAGTGAGCGAGCAGTGTGGGCAGGCGGTGTGGGTGGTGTCCAGCGGAGCGGCCTTGGCTTTGTGCTTTGTCTCCGCGTTCTTCAGTCTCCATGGACCCACATTCCTCCTCCTGCTCCTCCTCCTCCTACCCCCTGCTCCTCCTCTTCCCCCTCCTCCTCCTCTGCTGTATGCATGCAGGGACGGAGTGATGGATGGAGGCAGGGTAGAGAGGGAGGGAATTGAAGGATGGAGGGAATTGAAGGATGGAGGGAATTGAAGGATGGAGGGAATTGAAGGATGGAGGAAATTGAAGGATGGAGGGAATTGAAGGATGGAGGGAATTGAAGGATGGAGGGAATTGAAGGATGGAGGGAATTGAAGGATGGAGGGAATTGAAGGATGGAGGGGGAAGGGAGAGGAGGAATGGAAGGAGGGCGGGAGGGAAGGATGGAGGGAAGGTGGAATGGAAGGAGGGAGGGAGGGCAGCATCGAGGGAGTGACTGTGGGAAGGCGCAAGGAAGCGGGTGAGCGAAGGAAGAGAAGTAGGGAGGCCGATTGAGCGATGGAGGAGGAGGGAGGGGGGCGTTGTGGTTGAAGGGGGCCCCTGCCGATTACCACGGCCCGCTGAGTGGGATCATCTCGGCTTTGCGCGGCACACAATGCTGCGGCGTCGCGGCGGTAAATATAGCCGCCGTGCGACCAGGCGTGGCGCGGGGAGAATGCGAGCGGCCTTGTTACGGCTGAGACTCGCCCGGCGGGGCCCGGCGCGGCCCGGCGGGGCCCCGTGCCACTGGTCTGGAGGAACGGGCGGGGAGGAGGAGGCGGCAGGGGACCCCACGGGTAGAGGGGGAGGGGTGATGGCTGTGTGACCACGTGGTCACGTGCGTATGAAAGTGTGTGTACGTACCTACGTGGGGGGGGGGGGGGGAGCTGTGGCTGGTGCAGTGCTCGAACCGCTGTGCCAGTTGACCAAAGTTGGCGGATATCTGCACCAGTCCTGGGCCTTCCCGTTAGGTGAACTCGGCCTTAAACGAGTACCTGGTGCGTGTACGATCCAGTGCACCTCGCCTGGCACAAGCGCCGTGGTGACGTCACCACCACTTAGTGGCGAACGGCGGTTGTTGTTGTCGTCGTACGAGCCAGCCTTCAACGAGCACCTCGCGTTTGGGTAAAGGTGCAGCCCTGCAATATTTCGCCCGCACCACTGCTAGCGGAAGGCGCCTCCTCCACCAGTAGAGTACCGCCCCCCTCCTGAGGGTGTTTGGCCTACTCTTCCACCCGCTCCTACGATCGATCGATTGATCGATCCTCGCCAACGATTGTCGTCTCGTTCCCGCAGCCTCGTCCGCTCGCTCGATCGCTCGGCCAGAAATGTAGCGCGAGCATCTCATTTGCATCTCATTTGCATCTCATCTGCATCTCATTTGCACGAACGTCGCGCGCGACCGCGGACCTCCCACTGGCGCCGCGCGAAGAGACGCAGGTGTGCCTGGCGGGACGCAGGTGTGCGTGGCGGGATGCAGGTGTGCGTGCCGAGACGCTATTATTTTTGTTATCGCGCTTGCTGCAGCCGGGAAAGGCCCCGACCGAGTCTCCAGACTCTCGTTGTCAGGAGGGTCCTGCCCGCCCCCCCCGCGCGCTCACGGTGGCGGAGCGACGGGCGCTGCCACCGCGCGTCTCCCAGTCGAGTCATTTTTTTATTCTTTTTAATTTAGTATTATTGTTTTGCTTGAGGCCAAATTCCTCCGAGTTGGGATGTCGGGACCGTGACTCCGGCAAACAGAGTGGCTCCCGCTGTTCTTGCAGAATGACTTCGCCGGCGTCTTGAGCATCCACTTCAAAGCGGGCGGCGCGTCGTGAAGAAATTAAGAAAGAAATCGACAAAAATCCATTTTCGTGGTTCGTGCACCGCACCACCGCAGTATGAACCTGGGCGGCTTGCCAGGGTCTAACCACGAACTTCTTCGGCAAACGCGCTACCGCTGTGCCCCCCGTCAACTTTGGGGTTGGGGGCGGTGGCAGGGTTTTGGGGGTTGTGGTTGCGTACGCGTGGTGCTGGCCACCCACCCCCTCGTGTGCCGTGTCAGCCTTCATAGGTGCTGCTCGCTAACAGCACTTGCCCCAACAGTCTGTACGAGGGGGGTCTTTGCTATGGTGCTGGCCGCCCCCCACCCCCTCGTGTGCCGCGCGTGCCTCGTGTGCGGTCTCCAGCCCAACGCAGCGACGTTGGCGGTGGCATCGGAGTGAAGCGTCATTGAGGAAATGAAACCCAGAACCCCTCCCCACTCACCTGTCTGCTCTACCTGTCCCCCCCCTCCTCCTCCTCCCAGCAATTCTTATACTCGGCCACACCTGTCCTCCACAGCTACCCCACTCTGCCCACACACCCCTCCCCCCGTCTCGTCCTTCTGCCAAGGGCTGCCACTAAACCCGGACATGTATATTCGGTCAGCGCTAGGTCCCTTGTCAACACTGTGCCAACTCCACCGGTGCCGGATCTGCCCGGGTGGAGGGCGCCATGATGGCGAGATGTTAACGACCTTGCTTGGTGTACAGGAGGGGTTGGGTTCGATCCTGACCCTGACGCCTGCTGCTTTGTATTTGGAGTTTGCATGTCTCTCTCTCTCTCATCATCATCACGGTGGCTAAGAGATGTTAACTACCTCGCCTGGTATACGGGAGGGGTTGGGTTCGATCCCGACCCTGACGCCTGCTGCTTTGTATTTGGAGTTTGCGTGTCTCTCTCTCATCATCATCACGGTGGCTAGGACATGTCAACTACCTCGCCTGGTATACAGGAGGGGTTGGGTTCGATCCCGACCCTGACGCCTGCTGCTGTATATTTCGAGTTTGCGCGCTTGATGGGGTGCAACGCTTCACAAGTAGAGGGGGCACAGATGGAGATCTGTTCACAGTGGGGGGCCCGGGAAGGGTCACAGTCGGGGCCCTGTAGAAACGCAGTCGGGGACCCTGTAGGGCCACAGTGGGGGTCCTGTGAAGTGGACCGTGTCCAGATCGCGTTGCGTCCGGGTTTGTATTTCGGTGAAATGAACGCCGTTGGTTTCTCAACGTTGGTGGCACGGAGTCAGAGGAGTCGGAGGTGAATGGGTCCCTGTGTTGTGGCCGGAGGTCACTGCCGCCACCGGCCTCGCCAGCCCCACTAATCGGATCCGTGCAGGCCGCTCGCTCCGCTAATTGAGGCTTAATTGGCTGAGCCGCGCCAGGATCGGCGTTGGGAGCGGCCGCGCGCGAGCGGGTGCACGCGCGCGTGTGTGTGAGTGCGCACGCGTGTGTGTGTGAGTGCGCGCACACATGTGTGTGTGAGTGCGCGCATGCGTGTGTGTGTGTGTGTGTATGTGAGTGCGCGCGCGTGTGTGTGTGAGTGTGTGTGAGTGCGCGTGTGTGTGTGTTTGTTAGTGCACGTGTGTCCATGCGTGTGCGTGCGTGAGTGAGTCGATGAGTGTGTGTGTGGAGCGGTAGCATAGCGGTTAGCACGCTGCGCTACGAGCCCAGTGACCAGAATTCGATCCCCGCTCACGGCCAACACCAGTGATGGTCATCTGAACCGTTACCGGGCCTCCCCTCGGTCGACTCGGCCTCAAATGAGTACCTGGTGCAGTGGTGTGTAAACATCGCCACTAGGGCGACAAAGGCGGCCGGGCGCGGTGCCGGCCGAACAGCACTTGCCCCAACCGTCTGTTAATGTTATACGGGGGATCTTTGTCTTGTGCGTGTGCGTGCGGTCGTGAGAAATGACTCTGTAATTTGACACCTGACCTGTGTGGATTACACGGGCGCGCTCGAGCCGACGAGACGTTCCAGCGCCGCGTGGTGATGGTTGTCCACCCCCTCGTGCGCCGTGCCGGCCTTCGTCAGTGCTACTCGCTAACAGCACTTGCCCCAACGGTGTGTGAAAGGCTATGCTGGGGTGGGGGCGTCTTTATCTTTGTGCGAGTGCGACGAGGTAATGTAGCGGTTAGCGCACTGAACTACGGACCCCCGTGACCCAAGTTCGAATCTCGCCCACGGACACCAACATCGGTGATGATTATCGGAACCAGGCCCGGGCCTCCCCTAGGTCGACTCAGCCTCAAATGAGTACCTGGTGCGGTATGTAATCATCGCCACTAGGGGAGACAAAGGCTGCCGGGCGTGGTGCTGGCCACCCACCCCCAAGTGTGCTGTGGCGGCCTTCATAGGTGCTACTCGCCCCAACAGTCTGTTTAAATCATATACGGGGGGGGGGGGGGGGGGGGGTGCGTGCCAGTGTGTGTGTGTGCGTGCCAGTGTGTGCCAGTGTGTGTGTGTGCGTGCCAGTGTGTGTGTGTGTGTGTGCGTGCCGGTGTGTGTGTGTGTGTGCGTGCCGGTGTGTGTGTGCGTGCCGGTGTGTGTGTGTGTGTGTGCGTGCCGGTGTGTGTGTGTGTGTGTGCGTGCCGGTGTGTGTGTGTGTGTGCGTGCCGGTGTGTGTGTGTGTGTGTGCGTGCGTGCGTGCGTGCGTGCCGGTGTGTGTGTGTGTGCGTGCGTGCGTGCCGGTGTGTGTGTGTGTGTGCGTGCGTGCGTGCCGGTTTGTGTGTGTGTGCGTGCGTGCGTGCCGGTGTGTGTGTGTGTGCGTGCGTGCCGGTGTGTGTGTGTGTGCGTGCGTGCCGGTGTGTGTGTGTGTGCGTGCGTGCCGGTGTGTGTGTGTGTGCGTGCGTGCCGGTGTGTGTGTGTGTGCATGTGTGCGAGTCTTCTTGCAGCTGTTGTGAATTAACAAACAGACGAAAAATCTGATTCTAGAAATTCCTCGACGATTATCAAACACCACGTCAAGGTGGTGCAGTGGTCGGGGCACTGTTCTTCGAACCCGGCGGCCTAAGTTGGATTCACCGGCCAGGGCCACCAATCTGTGGCAAGCGTCCAAAACTCGTGCCTTGCCACCCGTAAAGTGGCACACTCAGTCCTCCCAAGTGTTTTGCGACATCTGATTGATGGTACGTATTAATTCGTAGCAATTAGCGTCGTGTATATGTCATGAAATCGTAGCAGTTATTCATTGATATATATTACTTTCCTGGAATGCAAAACCATCAATAGCGTCGTTGTGGAGCATATATGTGACAAAATAAATAAGTAGATAATACATCTCCTTCGCGTATTTATCGCTCCACGTGTTAAAAAAAAAACGTTTAAGTAGTTCTTACACAACCCATGGCCTTCTTGAAGTGCATAATGTCAGCAGCTTGGATTTCTCGATGGCAAGAAAACCCACGGTGGGGGCCCTGGAGGGTCACCAAGAGTCTGTTGAGGCTTTACGAGGGATCTTTGTATTGCGTGTGCACGTGCACGCGTTCGTGTGGGTGCGTGTGCACGTGTGCGTGACTGCGTGCGAGGAGCAGTAGCGTACTGGTTAGCGCGCCGCGCTACAAACCCGGCGACCCGAGTTCGATTCCCGCTCGTGTCCAAACACACATTTGAACCGGTACCAGGCCTCCCCTAGGTCGACTCGGCCTCATGAGTACCTAGTAGCGGTGTGTAAAACACCGTCGGCGCGGAGGCAAAGGCGGTGCAGGTGCGGTGCCGCCCAACTCACCCCCCTCGCGTGCCGTGCCGGCCTCCGTAGGCTGCCGCTACTCGCTAGCAGCGCTTGCCGTCAAGACTACGCGGGGTGGGACCTTTGTCGTCGTACGCAGGTGGTGCGCTCGCTGGGCTTCGTCATCTACAAGGCCCTGGACTGGGGCCTGGACGAGAACGAGGAGCGCGAGCTGAGCCAGCCGCTGGAGGAGCTCATCGACTGGATGACCAGCCTGGAGGACGTTGCGGCCATTGACGACGAGGGCGGGGGAGGTGCGTTGCGCGACGAGGGCTACGACGGGCCCGACGAGGACGAGGAGGCCGGCGCCGGCAACGCCACCACCGCCGGCACCGGCACCGGCACCGCCGCCGGCACCACCGCCGCTGACGGCGGTAGCGGAGTGAGCCGTCCGGAAGGGCCGTTCCAGTCCGTCATAAAGGTGAGTTCGAGGCTCGCTGCTGGACAAGAGAGGGGCGGGTTTGCACATCGCGACAGAGATTTCCTGCCCTGCCCCCCCCCCCCTTCTTTGGCATCGAGATGGTGCACACCTTGAGCTGCTTTGGGTGGCAAAGGTTTGGGGGGCAAGTCGCTGACCCGCCCCATACTAGACATCGGTGAAAAAGAACTTCATAGCTTTGTAACTCATCGGATTCCTCCAGTCCAGATTCTGATTGTGAACTGTCAAGAGACTGGGGATTTGCAAGGGTGAGCGAATGGGTGAGTGGGTGGGTGTGTGGGTGAATAAATGAGTGAGTGAGTGAGTGGGAAAGTGATATGACGAATGAGTGGGCGAGTGAGATGGTGAATGAATGTGTGAATTAATTAGTGTGTGAGTGAATGGGTTTGTGCGAGGGAGTTAAAATTTATTTTGTTGACGGAGGTGAGAACTCTCCTGGATGAGTCTCAGTCTGCAAGAGTTGGTGAATGGGTGAGTGAGTGAGTGGGTGAGTGAGTGGGTGGGTGAATGAGTGAGTGGGTTAGTCGGATGATGAATGAGTGGATGAGTCAGCTGGTGAGTTAGATGATGAGTGAATGAGTGCATGAATTAATGAATGAGTGTGAGCAAGCGAGTGAGCTTATTTTGTTGAACGAGAAACCGGCATCAAGCGAATGAGCGAGCGAGATGGTGAATAAGTGGGCGAGTCACATGGTGAATGAATGAGCGATTGGTTTTCTCGCAGCGGGGCGCGTGTTTTCCTGCTGCGGGCAACTGTTCCCCTGGCGTTGGAAGAACCTGGGCTTTGGTCCAATCGGCTCCAATTCAGTCCGCTTTTGGCTCTTAAATGTGCCGGCTCTTACGTCCGTTGGAGCTTTTGTGCAGTGTGCTTTGGCGAGTGCGTGAGATTTGTTGTGTTTACACTGCTCGGGCTCGGGAGAGAAAACAGGAAAACAGGATGCGTTGTGTTCATTTGGTGGGCGGGGGGTGGCGTGGGGTAATGGAACTCTGATGATTCTCGGTGCATTACTCACGCAGCACAACAACAACAACAGCCGCCGCCATTCACCAGTAAGTGGGGGTGATGTCACCGTAGCACTTGTGCCAGGCCATGTGCACCTGAGAATATCACGTGAAGTATGGACTGTTCACTGTTGCCAGGAGGTCACGGGACAGACCCAGATGTTTTGATTTGACTGCTGTGCCAGGTTAGGTGCAGGATGTCACGGGACAGACCCAGACACCATCGGTTGTTTGACTGGCAGATGCACCCACCTGCACTCCCACCCACTGTGCATTTTAGCCGCCCGCCGCTCCACTCGTTGTTGCGAGCGTCGATCCCCTGCCCAGTGGTTAGCGCAGTGCAGTCGCCGCTGGGCCACCACTCTCCACACACACACACCCACACACCCCCCCCCAACACCCACCCACAACCACTCTTTCAACAACCACAGCAACTGCAGCTAAGTGGTGGTGATGTCACTGTGGTGTCTGTGCCAGGACGGGCGCTGGTAAAGAAAAGGGCAGGCGGTGTTTTAGTGGCAATGAATGAACACGCACGCACGCACGCACGCACTCACGCACGCACAGCGTGATATGTTCATACGTACACAGACACCGATCCCCCACATGTCTTACGCAGGTGGTGCGGTGATTAAGGTCACAGCGCTGCGAGCCCAGTGACCAGAGTTCATTTCCCACTCGCGACCAACATCGGTGATGGATATCTGAACCGGTCCTATGCCTCCTCTAGGTCGACTCGGCCTTAAACGAGTGCCTGATGCATTGTGTAAAACATGAGGACTGGGGAGACAACGGTGGTGCTGACCACCGTGCCGGCCCTTGTAGTTGCTTGCTAACAGCACTTGCTCCAACAGTCTGCATAGGCTACACGGGGGATCTTTGTCTGTGTGTGTGTGTATAAATATATATGCCCTGGGGAGAGAGATAAAGGTGGCTGGGCGTGGTCCTGACCACATCACCCCCTCGTGTGCCATGCTGGCCTTCATAGATGGCCACTGCATACGCGTGCTTTCAGATGCGTTTCTACGGCTGTCTGGCATATGCTCTTCCTTCCGAAAAATTCGAAAGCCATTGGAGCTATGCACTTTGAAATTTAAATTGAAAGTTCATTTAGTTTTGTGTTTAGTTCATTGTCCTTCCCCCACGCCTCCGATTATCACGGTTGGCTACGTGCTCGCTAACAGCACTTGCCCCAACGGTGTGATAAGGCTACAGGGGGGATCTTTGTTTGTGTGTGCGTGAGCGGTAGTGTAGCGGTTAGCGCTACGCTGCGCTTCAAACCCGACGACCTGATTTCGATTCCCGCTCATGGCCAACATCGGTGACGATTATCTGAACCGGTCCTGGGCCTCCCCTAGATCGACTCGGTCTCAAATGAGTACCTTGTGTTGTGTGTAAACATCGCCACCAGGGAGACAAAGGCGGCCGGGCGTGGTGCTGGCCACCCACCCCCTAGTGTCCCATTCCAGCCTTCATAGGTGCTCACTAACATCACTTGCCCCAACAGTTTGTTCAGGCTATAGAGGGGATCTTTGTTTTTGTCTTTGTGGTAGATGTGCACGTCACACCTGCGGACGACTCGTGAAGCCCCGTCGCACTACCAGGCCGTGTGCCGCGCGCTCTACGCCGAGGCCATGGAGCTGCGCACCTTCCTCGAGAAGATCCAGAGCGCCAAGGAGGTGCTCGCCTGCTCGCTCACTCACTCAGACGCTCGCTCACTCGCTCACACACACGCTCACTCACTCGCCCACACGCTTGTTCGCTCATTCGCTCGCTCACTCGTTCACTCACACACACGCTTACTCGTTCACCCACTGGCTCACTCAGATGCTCGCTCGCTCACTCACACACACACACGCTAACTCACTCGCCCACACGCTTGTTTGCTCATTCGCTCGCTCACTCATTCACTCACACACGCGCTTACTCGTTCACCCACAGGCTCACTCAGACGCTCGCTCGCTCGCTCACACACACGCTAACTCACTCACCCACACGCTTGTTCACTCATTCGCTCGCTCACTCGCTCACTCGTTCACTCATCCACACGCTCACTCGCTCACCCACTGGGACACTCAGACGCTCGCTCGCTCACACACACGCTAACTCACTCGCCCACACGCTTGTTCGCTCATTCGCTTGCTCGCTCACTCGTTCACTCGCACACACGCTCACTCGCTCACCCACTGGCTCACTCAGACACTTGCTCGCTCACCCACTCGGACACTCAGACGCTCACTCGCTCACACACACGCTAACTCACTCGCCCACACGCTTGTTCGCTCATTCGCTCGCTTGCTCACTCGTTCACTCACACACACGCTCACTCGCTCACCCACTGGCTCACTCACCCACTCGGACACTCAGACGCTCGCTCGCTCACACACACGCTAACTCACTCGCCCACACACTTGTTCGCTCATTCGCTCGCTCACTCGTTCACTCACACACACGCTCACTCATTCACCCACTGGCTCACTCAGACGCTCGTTCGCTCGCTCACTCACACACACACGCTTACTCTTCCACATGCTCGCTCCCTCACACGCTCGTTCACTAACACACACACATGCTTACTCGCTCACCCACCTACGAAGGTCGACGCAGCACACGAGGGGGTGGGTGGCCAGCACCACGCCTGGCCACCTTTGTCTCCCCAGTGGCGATGTTCACACACGGCCAAGGGGACAGATTCGGATAATTGTCACTGGTTTTGGCCGTGAGCGGGAATTGCTAGGTTCGAAGCGCAGCGCGCTAGCCACGAGACTACCACTCCCTGCACAAAGGCAAAGATGTCCCGGTGTAGCCTTAACAGGCTTTTAGGGGCAAGTGTGTGTTTGGAGCACCTACACACGTACGAAGACAGATCTCCGTATAGCCTAAACAGACTTGTGGCAAGTGCTGTTCGCGAGCACCTATAAATGCTGGCACGGCACACGAGGGGGTGGGTTGCCACATACACAGACACGCGTGCGTGTGTGTGCGGGCTATTGACCAGCGATCGAGGCATTCCGGCATTGGGAACGCGAGCCCAGTGTCTGTCCTGACAAAGGCCTGGCTCCGCACAGTCGTAATGGGAATCTTGGCAGGGCGGCTCGCGTTCATTATCACGTCGGCTCTTGAAAAACACGATAACGAGCACGGCGTGCTAATGAGCGCATGTGCGAGTGCGTGAGAGAATGTGTGCATCGGTGCGTGTGTAGTGTGTGTGTGTGAACACACAGCATGTACGGACTGTCAGCGTGTGTTTGTGTTGTAGCTGAGCGGTGGCTCAGCGGTCACAGCGCTGCGCTACGAACCCGGCAACCCGACTTCGGTTTCCAGCCACGGCCACCAACGCCCGTGATGATTATCTGAACCGGTCCCGGGCCTCCCCTCGGTTGACTCGGCTTCAAATGATTACCTGGTGCGGTGTGTAAACATCGTGGTGCTGGCCACCCACCGTGTGTGCCATGTCGGTGCTCGCTAACAGCACTTGCCCCAAAGGTCCGTTGAGGCTAAACCAGGTACACGTTTGAGGCTGAGTCGACCTGGGGGGGAGGCCCAGGAGCGATTTAGTTAATCGTCACAGGTTTTGGCCGCCACACACACACACACACGTGAATACCTCCACACGCCGCACGCACGCCGGAGCGTGGCGGTAGATCTCGCTGCATCCGCGTGCCGTGTGCCGGGAGACGCCTCTCCGCGCCCGCCCGTCGCCGTGTTTGTTTTGGCGGCCGCGCGACGTGACGGCGTCGTGGGAAGGGATTCACCGTCCATCAAGATGCCACCGTGGACAAAGCCACCGATGCCACCGCCGATGCCACCGTCTCGCCGCATCTCGTCAGCGCTATCCACCGCTCGCTGCCATCCACCAAATCCCACGGCTGCTGCGCGGTGGAAGCAGCGACTTCCACGGTCTGACCCCGGCAGTCTCCCGGCACGTGGTCTTAGATAGACTCACTCGGAGAGCCACAGACTCGCTACAGAGAGCCACATACTTAGACTCGCTCGGAGAGCCACATACTCACTCGGAGACTCGTACAGAGACCCACAAACCCCCACAGAGACCCAAAGAGACCCACAGACTTACGCAGAGACCCACAGATTCAGAGTCCCACAAACTCACACAGAGACCCAAAGACACCCCGTCTCACCGCCCCATCCTGCACACGCGTCCCACCCAGCGCAACCGTTTTGGCTGATCACATCCACAACATTCGGCATCCCTAGCCCACGTCGTTCTCTCTCCCCGACGTCTCTCTCTCTCTCTCTCCTGTCTTCTTGCCACGGGAATCCCCCCCGATACCTGCGCTCGAATCCCAGCGGTTTCTTTCGGAGCGGCACGCGGCCCGTGGCCTGTGGGGGAGGGGGAGGTGGGGGGGTTTCCAGCCTTCATGCATGACGAGGGAGGGCGGCCGTCGTGTTTGTTTTTGAAAGGAGGTCCCGAGTAACCGACCACAACGTGGTCGTGGTGGGCACTTTACGATTTTGAACGACCAGCCGAGAGCTCCGAGGAATCGTTCCCCCGCCCGCCCCCTCCCCCCGCCCGCCCCAAGCTGTCCTGTACTTCTATGCTCCTGCCTCTTGTGTTCCCCTTGCCGCCAACCACCGGGGGCAGGATGCCTGCTGTGCCGCCCGACGCGACGCTTTGTTTGTTGAACTTCTTGCGCGCCGGACGTAGCCGACCGTGTTAATCGGACGTGCGCGGGGGGAAGGACAACAAACCAAACACAAAACTAATTTCTAAAGAAATTCGTGTTAAATCTAGACGATTTAAAAGGTCGTATATCCAGTGGCTTTCTAATATGGGAAGGAAGAGCGTTCCAGACGGCCGCAGAGGCGCATCTGAACGTGCCGCGCGATGCGGGTGACCGTCTTTGTTCGATTGCTGAGCCAATTGCCGCTGCTGCTGCCGCTGCTGCTGCCGCTGCTGCCGCTGCTGCTGCTACTGCTGCTACTGCTGCTGACACTGCTACTGCTGCTGCCGCTGCCGCTGCTACTGCTGCTGCTGCTACTGCTGCTGACACTGCTACTGCTGCTGCTGCTGCTACTGCTGCTGCTGCTGCAACTGCTGCCGCTGCCGCTGCTACTGCTGCTGCTGCTACTGCTGCTGACACTGCTACTGCTGCTGTTGCTGCTGCTGCTACTGCTGCTGCTGCTGCTACTGCTGCCGCTGCTACTGCTGCTGCTGCTACTGCTGCTGACACTGCTACTGCTGCTGCCGCTACTGCTGCTGCCGCTGCTGCTGCTGCTGCCGCTGCCGCTGCTGCTACTGCTGCTGCTGCTACTGCTGCTGCTGCTGCCGCCGCTGCTACTGCTGCTGCTGCTGCTGCTACTGCTGCTGCTACTGCTGCTGCTGCTGCCGCTGCTGCTGCCGCTGCTGCCGCTGCCGCTGCTGCTGCTACTGCTGCTGCTACTGCTGCTGCTGCTGCTACTGCTGCTGCTGCTGCGAGGATTTCCGGTGGCGTTGTTGACGCCGCCGCCTCTCCCACTCCCCCCGCAGGCGCTGAAGAAGATGCAGGGCGGTGGTGGCGGCGGCGGCGACGGAAATCAAGCTTCGCCCAACTCCTTCGAGCTCAACGAGCTGCAGCACCTGGACTGGGTGAGAGGCTCGCCGCTAGGGGTCGTCAAGGGGTGGGGGGAGGGGGTTGCGGGGGGGGGGGGTCACGTGGTAGTTAAAGCCGTGGGGTCGTAGTCGGGGCCGTAGTGGAGTTGTGGAATCCCTGAGCCGGCTCGGGGTTTGACCTCGGCCGTGGATTAACACAGCGTCGGGGTTCCACTGCCAGCGGCTCTTCGCTCGACCCCAATCGCCCACGACCTCCAGGACCCCCCTCACCAACCCCACCTTTGACCCCTGAACCCCATGTGCCCTCCTTTAACCGTGTAACCCCCCCCTCCCCGACCCCCACGTGCCACCCTCTGTGATCCCCGACCCCCACGTGCCTTCCCTTCTAACCCAGGTGTGCAGCCCCCCCCTCTGACACTCTCCCCCCACCAAGTAACCCCCTCTGACCTCCATGTGCCCCCTCCACCACGTGCTGACCCCTGACCACCGGTTTGCCACCCCCACCCACCCCCCACGGCCCCCTCCTGTAGGCGCGCCTGTGGGGCCAGGTGATGCGCGAGCTCCGTCACGGCGTGAAGCTCAAAAAGGTGGCGGCCATGCGTCCCTACAGCGGCCTGCCCATCGAGTTCCAGTTCACGCCCTACGAGATGCTCATGGACGACATCCGCGCCAAGCGATACAACCTGCGCAAGGTCATGGTAGGGGACATGGTACGGCCTAACTACCCCATCCATCCACCACTCCAATTACCTCCCCCGCCCCCCGCCCGCCCACCATGGCGAGGGTGGAATGGTATGGCCCGATTACCCCATTCATCCATCCATTCCTGCATTGCTGCCGGGGGGGATCGATAAAATGGTACGGGCCAACTACTCCATCTTTTTACCTCCCGGGGAAGAAAATGGTGTGGCCCGTTTAACTTCATCTGTCCATTCCTACATGAGCGGGGAGGAAGGTGGACAATAACGGTACGGCCGGACTACCACATTTGACTGTCCACCCACCCCCTCGCCTGGCTGAGTTAATTCACCCGTCTCCCTCGTTTCAGTGAAGCGATAGAGCCCAGAGGCATTGCAATAAACTTAACGGTTTCTTGATGACCTCATGACGCGTGGCGTCACACGCGTCATCTCGCTGCGCATCTTGGAACGTAACGTGACACCGCTGCACGGCTGATTTTAAGGCACCGGATCGTCGCCATCGTCGTCGCCACCCCCACCACCACCACCACCACAACCATCATTGTCGTTTGTTTTTCACACCGCGCCTCCCGTACGGTACGTCTCGGCCGATCCCGCAGCGTGTGCATGGTTCTACTTTTGCTTATTGCTCCGTGCGCTCACCGTGTGTGCCCGCACCCCCCCCCCCCCCCCCGCTATTCCCTCCCCCTCCCCACGTCCTTGCCGTCACCACCGTCAGGTGAACGGAGACATCCCCCAACGGGTGCGGAAGAGCGCGCACGACGTCATCCTGGAGTTCATCCGCTCGAGGCCGCCACTTAACCCCGTGAGTTGGCCCTCCGTGTGTTTACGTGAGTGTTGAACTGCTGTCGCACCGCGGGCTAATCGGAGGTGCGGAGGGGGAAGGACAACAAACTAAAGGTTCTGACCCCACCTCCCACCTCTGACTCTCCCTCCCCGCAGCAACCTTGTCTGTACACTGGTGTATACACACACACACTAGCGCGTACACCAGTGTGTGTGTCTTTAAACTGGTGTACACACACTAGCGTGGACACTACTGTGCGCAGACACACACACTAGTGTACACGCTAGTGTGTGTGTCTGTACACCAGCGCTATGAACCCCGTGAACCGGGTCCGATTCCTGCTCACGGCCAACACCAGTGACGATTGTTCAAACCGGTCCTGGGCCTCCCCTAGGTCGACTCGGCCTCAAATGAGTACCTGGTGCTGTGTGTAAAAATCGTACTCTTAGGCTTTTCGGTAAAGTCACGTAAGTAAAAAATAAAAATAAAATTAATAGAAGTAATAATAGAAATAAAATAATAAATCACGACGTTTTGGAGGCAACACAAGCTTCCGTCTTCAGGTGGAACCGTCACAGCACGATTGCTGTATCAAGTAAAGTCATCGGGAATTCCTCCAGCGTCACTTGATACAGCAATTGTGCTGTGACGGTTCCACCTGAAGACGACGGAGACTTGTGTTGCCTCCGAAACGTCGTGATTTATTATTGTATTTCTATTATTACTTCTATTAATTTCATTTTTTACCTACGTGACTTTACCGAAAAAGCCTAAGAGTATGAATCCTTGCAGTCACGAAAGCTTCAAATCTAGAATGTAAACATCATCACTAGGGAGACAAAGGCGGCCGAGCGTGGTGCTGGCCACCCATCCCCTCGTAGGTGTTCGCGAACAGCACTTGCCCCAAGAAAATATTAAGGCTTTGCGGGGGATCTTTGTCTTTTTTTGTGCTCGTAGGTCGCGTTCCGGAAGCTCCGCGAGACCCCGGAGCGACCCCGCAGTCTCCACGAGCAGATGCTCGACGAGATCCGCATGGACCGCAAGCTGCGGCCCGTCTCGCCCGTCCTGCCTCAGCCCTGCCGGACCGGTGCGTGCGCTCACCACTCGCTTACTACTCGCTTACTACTCGCTTACTACTCGCTTACTACTCGCTTACTACTCGCTCACCGCTCACTCGCTTGATCACCACTCGCTCACCACTCGCTCACCACTCGCTCACCACTCGCTCACCACTCGCTCACCACTCGCTTACTACTCTCTCACTCGCTCACTCACCACTCGCTCGCTCGATCACCACTCGCTTACTACTCGCTCGCTCACCACTCGCTCGCTCACCAATCACTCGCTCACCGCTCGCTCACCACTCGCTTACCACTCGCTCACCGCTCGCTCACCACTCGCTTACTACTCTCTCACTCGCTCACCACTCGCTCACCACTCGCTCACCACTCACTTACTACTCTCTCACTCGCTCGCTCACCAATCACTCGCTCACCACTCGCTCACCGCTCGCTCACCACTCGCTCACCGCTCGCTCACCACTCGCTCACCACTCGCTCACTGCTCGCTCACTACTCGCTCACCGCTCGCCATCCTCACAATCCCTCTGCGCCCGCCTCCCATCCCACGCGTCTTCGTTTTACTTTCACGACTTTGTTGTCATCCTTGGTTCTATTTTTTGTCCCTGCGTGTCCTTGTGTGTGTGCGCGTGTGTGTGTGCGTGTGTGTGCGTGTGCGTACGTACGTGTGTGACCCGGTACCCCCCTGCCCCCTCCCCAGCCCTGAGACCGCTTAGCATGTCACAGAGCTTTGACCTGGCAGGTACAGTACCAGCTGACCCCCCTCCCCCCGCCACGTGACCCCGTCGTCACGGGCCGGCCCGCTTGCTCGCTCCCTCGCTTTGCTCTCTCCCCACATGCACGCCCGCCCGCGAGCTCTCCGCTTGCGCCGACGCAATTGTGATTGTGTGCGCCCTCCGAATACCGGTTCTCTCCTTGAAAGCCACAAATAAATAGATAAATACTACTGTATTTATCTATTTATTTGTCAATCCACTGCTGGATGAAGGTCCCGCCCCCGCCGCCATGACGGACGCCTTGTCGGGTCCTAGGGGGTTGTTCAGGCTTACTTCGCCACGCTGGTCGGCGCGGGGTTGCTGAAGGCGGTGAGGTCGGGTTGCCAGCCGTTGTAACCCAGGTCTGGTACCGGTCTGGCTGAGTTGAGCTTCGATTTAAAGCTTTCGTGACTGCAAGGATTCATCTTCTTGGTTTTTTCGGTAAAGTAACATAGAAGGGAAGTAATAAAATAATAAAAATAAAACATGATAAAATAATTCTCACGACGTTTCGGCCACAACGCAAGCAGCCGTCCTCAGGTGAAGACCAGGTCTGTCGAGGCGACAGCGTCTGAATGACAGACCTGGTCTTCACCTGAGGACGGCTGCTTGCGTTGTGGCCGAAACGTCGTAAGAATTATTTTATTATGAAAGAACCAAGAAGATGAGTTGAGCTTCACTGCCGTGACGGCGCGATGAGGAGGAGGAGGAGGAGGAGGGGAGGCCCAGCGCTGAGTTAGAGGAGGTTCTGAATTCCCGTGGTGAAACAAATCTTCAGGGAAACCAATATTCGCCTGGCTTCCGTGTGTGTCGGCATGGCCGTGTCTTACCTCGCTACTGTCCGTGTCTGTGCCTCGCTACTGTCCGTGTCTGTGCCTCGCTACTGTCCGTGTCTGTGCCTCGCTACTGTCTGTGTCTGTGCCTCGCTACTGTCCGTGTCTGTGCCTCGCTACTTTACGTGTCTGTGCCTCGCTACTGTCCGTGTCTGTGCCTCGCCACTGTCCGTGTCTGTGCCTCGCTACTGTCCGTGTCTGTGCCTCGCTACTGTCCGTGTCTGTGCCTCGTCACTGTCCGTGTCTGTGCCTCGCTACTGTCCGTGTCTGTGCCTCGCTACTGTCCGTGTCTGTGCCTCGCTACTGTCCGTGTCTGTGCCTCGCTACTGTCCGTGTCTGTGCCTCGCCACTTTACGTGTCTGTGCCTCGCCACTGTCCGTGTCTGTGCCTCGCCACTGTACGTGTCTGTGCCTCGCCACTGTACGTGTCTGTGCCTCGTCACTGTCCGTGTCTGTGCCTCGCCACTGTCCGTGTCTGTGCCTCGCCACTGTCCGTGTCTGTGCCTCGCCACTGTACGTGTCTGTGCCTCGCCACTGTACGTGTCTGTGCCTCGCCACTGTACGTGTCTGTGCCTCGCCACTGTACGTGTCTGTGCCTCGCTACTGTACATGTCTGTGCCTCGTCACTGTACGTGTCTGTGCCTCGTCACTGTACGTGTCTGTGCCTCGTCACTGTACGTGTCTTTGCCTCGTCACTGTATGTGTCTGTGCCTCGCTACTGTCCGTGTCTGTGCCTCGCTACTGTCCGTGTCTGTGCCTCGCTACTTTACGTGTCTGTGCCTCGTCACTGTCCGTGTCTGTGCCTCGCCACTGTCCGTGTCTGTGCCTCGCTACTGTCTGTGTCTGTGCCTCGCTACTGTCCGTGTCTGTGCCTCGCTACTGTCCGTGTCTGTGCCTCGCTACTTTACGTGTCTGTGCCTCGTCACTGTCCGTGTCTGTGCCTCGCTACTGTCCGTGTCTGTGCCTCGCCACTGTACGTGTCTGTGCCTCGTCACTGTCCGTGTCTGTGCCTCCCCACTGTCCGTGTCTGTGCCTCACCACTGTCCGTGTCTGTGCCTCGCCACTGTCCGTGTCTGTGCCTCCCCACTGTCCGTGTCTGTGCCTCGCCACTGTCCGTGTCTGTGCCTCGCCACTGTACGTGTCTGTGCCTCGCCACTGTACGTGTCTGTGCCTCGCCACTGTACGTGTCTGTGCCTCGCTACTTTACATGTCTGTGCCTCGTCACTGTACGTGTCTGTGCCTTGTCACTGTACGTGTCTTTGCCTCGTCACTGTATGTGTCTGTGCCTCGCTACTGTCCGTGTCTGTGCCTCGCTACTGTCCGTGTCTGTGCCTCGCCACTGTACGTGTCTGTGCCTCGCTACTGTCCGTGTCTGTGCCTCGTCACTGTCCGTGTCTGTGCCTCGTCACTGTCCGTGTCTGTGCCTCGCTACTGTCCGTGTCTGTGCCTCATCACTGTACGTGTCTGTGCCTCATCACTGTACGTGTCTGTGCCTCGCTACTGTACGTGTCTGTGCCTCGCCACTGTCCGTGTCTGTGCCTCGCTACTGTACGTGTCTGTGCGTGTGGGACAGTTGGCAGGGGAGCCGTCACGGCCGCGGGACGTCCAGGCCAGACCTTGGCGCTACAAGGCCCAGATCTGCCGGCCGAGCCTGCAGTTTCCCTGTGCCGTGACCATCCCGCGCGCTCCCCCCCCCACCACCATCCCACCATCCCACGCCATCCGTCGCTTCTCAGCCGCTGCTTCTGTGCCGTCGTGGTGGTGCCGCTGTGTTGCCGGTGTGGCCGTAGTGGTGGTGCCGCTGCGTTGCCATAGTGATGTTACCATAGTGGTGTTGCCATAGTGATGTTACCGCGGTGGTGTTACCGTATTGGTGTTGCTGTAATAGTGTTGGTGCGTGGTGGGTGTGTTTGTGTGTGGGTGTGTTTGTGTGGGTGTGTTTGTGTGTGTGTGTGTGTTTGTGTGTGTGGGTGCGTGTGTGTGGGTGTGTGGGTGTGGGTGTGCGTGTGTTTGTGTGTGTGCGTGCCGTGGTCAGACATCGACACTCCGGACGGGCGCCGCGTCCGCAAGAAGAAGCTGCTGAAGGCGCCAACGCTGGCGGAGATGGAGGCAGAGTTCGAGGTGCGGTGGTACCGGCAGCACCAGCAACACCACCACCAAAAGCACCACCAGTACCAGCACCAGTACCAGCACCACCACCACCAGCAGCATGAGTTGGTTGCCAGTCTGTGTGCTTTGGTGAGCGCTGGGACTGTGTGCGTGCATGTGCGTGCGTGTGCCTGTGTGTGTTTGCATGTGCGTGCGTGCAGGAGGAGCAGGAGGAGGGCAACCTCGGCGACGCCGGGACACTCGACTACCTGGGCGACATGTCGCCTTTCCTGCGCGACGCAGGGCCCCGGGGTGAGCACCACCGCGGCGCCAGCTCGTGTGTGTGTGTGTGCGTGCGTGAGGCCACAACCATGCCGGTCGTGGTGGGGGGTGTTGGAGGTGGGCTTGGGGGGGAAGGAGGCCCGGGGTCTTGACTGGGGCGGCCGCCAAACCAACACGCGGCCGCGGTATAAACATTGGGATCCCCCCCCCCCACCTCACCCGCTCTCCCCCCCCGTCCCTCCCCCGCACTGCCGGCGCCCGCAGACCGGCGCTCGCTGCACCTGAGCTTCATGCCGGTGTCGTTGACGCCACAGCCGGAGCGCCGCTTGCCAGGCCCGCGGCGCCACTCCATCGAAAAGGAGACGCCGACCACCACGGCGGCGCGAGAGTTCCCACGTCCCGTGCGCCAGGACTCGCGCTCGCTGGTGAGAGACGGCGCCACCGACGCCGGCACCGTCACCAAAGGGCCACCTTCACAACACCACCTCCACCGCCGCTACACGGCCACCGTCACAACTCCACCACCGCCACAACAGCAACACCACCGTCACAACACCAACACCACCGTCACAACACCAACACCACCGTCACAACACCACCACCACCGTCACAACACCAACACCACCGTCACAACACCAATACTACCGTTACAACACCAACACCACCGTCACAGCACCACCTCCGCCGCCACTACACGGCCACCGTCACAACTCCACCATCGCCATCACAACACCAACACCACCGCCACAACACCGCTGCGACGACAATCGGCATCGCCAGTGCAAGTAGAACCACCGCAACGACCAGCATCGCCATCACCACCGCGGCAACCATTGCAAGGGCTACCCCCAACACCACCAACACAACCACCACCGGCATCACCACAAAAACCACTGCCGCCAGTCAGTCGCCGCCCTCACCGGCCCAACCACCAGAGGCGCCACCGGGTGGCGTTGCCGTGTGTGTGCGTCCCTCGTGTCGTATCCCATCATCATCGTGTCCTCCGCCCCGTTGGCCTCCCTCGCGAGTCGCCACCACCAACTCCTCGTCGTCACCCACCACGGTAAAGCCGCCGCCACCACCCACGACCTTCGCCACCACCGCTATCGCCACCGTCACCGCCACCCATGACCACATGACCACATGAACACCACCGCCAATACTCCACGACCGCCCCCCAATCGCCACCGCCGCTATCGCCACCCACGCCCAAGGTTTGTAGCCGAGCGGTGAGGCTGGGAGCCAGACTCGGGTTCCACGCGGTTCACTCCGCGGTGCCACGACCGCCACTTCCGCGCCGCGCGCTTGCGTCCCATTCCATGCTTCATCGCACCCCCCCCCCCGCCCCCCAACCTCCCCCCCCCCCCCCCTCCTACCGAGCCCAACCTCCGGGCTACGCTCACCGCCGGCGGTGAGTGGCGGTGATCGACCCGAGATGGCCGCCGGGGCATATGGCCCCCCCCCCCCCCGCCCGCCGAACTGCACGGACGACGGCGCCACCGCCGCCAGTGTCAACATCCGGCGACCTCTAACCCCGTTGACCGCCGGCCCCCCCCCCTCCTCCCCCCCCCACCCACCCCCTACCGGTGACACCGTAGTCCTCCCCCCCCGTGGCGGCTGTGGGGGGCCCGCTGCTGGCCAGCGGCCTGTGGAGGGCTCCCCCCCCCGTGGCGGCGATGGGGGGGGCCCTGGGACTCTCCTCGTGGCCCCTGGAGGTCTCGCTGCTGTGTGCGGCCGGGTTGCTCTGCAAGGCCCTGCACTTGGTTTGTTCGGACGCCCCCCAGTGGGCTCCCCTGCAGGTGTGCCCCCCCCCCCACCACCCTTCCTGAACCCCACCAGCCCCCCCCCACCCGAATCCCTCCCTCCCCCCCCCCCACTCTCCCCACTGTTCCCCCGTGGGGATCGGCATTCAGGACGAACCGGAGGGTTGAGAGAAGGGTAGGGCGGCGATGTGTTTTCGAGGTCGCCGTAGTGGCCCCATGTGAAAATGGCACTGTGCGGACACGCGCGTAGGATGGACAACGAACGGGAAAATTTCTAAAGTGTTGTTGTTGTTTGGGGAAAAATGGATAGAACCGGAAAGAGAGAGAGGTGGGGGTGGGTGGGAGACCTCGCGGACATCGTCTTGACGACGACGTAAGAGACTGGTGCCAGACAGATGGGGCCACTGCTTGTGCCTAGTGACGCAAGACGACGGGGAAGTGCAAACAAATTGACGACACGTGCAGCAGCGGGCACCTACGGGTGGCGGGGGGGGGGCTATCTGCCCGTGGATCGCGACGATGGCGACAATGAGCGGGGGCCCCCTAGCGAGCCCGAACTTCACCGAGCCCAAACTTCACAAGGATTATGGCAAATGGAAAATGTTTGTAGCGTTATGTAATTAATTTCCTTTTGTAGCATACAGTCGTGTATGCTAGAGAACTGAGAAAACAAACCGGGTAGAGGCGGCACAACTTTGGCACAACGAACCGGGTAGAGGCGGCACAACTTTGGCACAACGAACTGGGTACGGGAGGCACAACTTGGGCACAACAAACCGGGTAGAGGCGGCACAACTATTTCCGGCTATGTGATTTTATTGTTGATTCTGGTCGTAAAATTGTTCAGTTTCTGACGTACGGAAAATTCGGGTTACGGCTCGTTCTGCGGAACCTAACCCTTTCCGTAACCCGGGGACCGCCTGTATGTTTAAAATTGGGTGAACCCGCAAGCTACTCGCAATCAGAATATTTCAACCTGGAGGAATCCGACAAGCTCCAAAGCTCTTTGTATCACAGATGTTCCAGTAGCTGCGGGTCCGAAAGTTACGACGACAAGCAATGCGGCGAAAAGACGATAGGAGTGCAAAGTATAGGATTAGTAAACTTATTAAGTGAAATCGGTAACAATTAACCTATTTTTATTTGACCAGGCGAAGCCCGCTGAGCTACTAACGTCTTTTTCCGAAGTGACCTGTCTATCGCAAATGATAGCTCGAATGGGTAACGCCACAGATCGACTTGTCTGTGAAACACAGCGGCGGTTGCCTTCACGTTAGCCCTGCGCTGTGCCCGTAGCCTGGGCTCCGAGGGTGCCGGTACGTCCTGCGAGCCGCCCCCGCGACCCCCGACCCCCCCCGCCCCCACATGCCCCCCCCGATCCCTCTCCCTCCTTGCCACCCAGCGCCCCAATCAACCGAGGGTGGACAACGCTTGCTCTCGCCCTCTCGTCCCTCGTCCTCTCGCCCCACCACCCCCGCTTGGCTCGCCCGCTTCACTCTCGCCCGCCCCCTTAACCCCCGGCTGATTTTGCGACGCGCGGCCGCGCGCGTGTGATCTCCCTCTAACCCGTCGCTGCTCGGTGTTGTGTCGTTCTTTTTCGCTTTGTCCTTTTCCCCGTTTCGCATTTTGTGTTTTTGTGTTCTGGCGATCTTTTTTCTTCTACGACACCACCCCCTCCCCCCTTTCCCTGCTGCCTTTTCTCTGCGCACGCTTCTAATCAATGCAGGAAGTCGGACCGCGACCGCCGGTCCTGCACCGTGCCGACGGAATGTTGATCATGGTAAGGGGTGCGAGCGTCTTGGGATCCGATCAACGTCCCCCCCCCTCCACCTCCCCCCGCCAATGTCTCTGTGTCCACCCGTCCGTCCATCTGTGCGTCCTTCCATCTGTCTGTCCGCGCAACAACAAACAAATCCCACGATCACGCAATCGCTTAAGCCGAGCGATCAATCGGTCACGCGATTCGCTCGTCGCGCCAGCTGTGCCCTGCACACCGCTGCACTGATTGCGCCGGTGATGGTGGCAGCTCCGCTAAGTAGCCACGGCAGCGGCGGTGGCGGTGTTGGTGGTGATGATGATGGTGGTGGTGATGGTGGTGATTGCACATTGTCCAATGCGATTGAGCCGGTCCTCACGACGTTAATGCAGCAGTAATATTCACTTATTTCGCTCGGGGAAAACCACACGAACCTGAGTCCGAAGAGGCATGTTTTAGGAGGGTCCTGCCCGCTACGTCGTTTGGCCAACACCTCTGCCTGGCCCCGTTGCTAGATTCCCTTTGCCAGACACTCTTCATCAGAAAAACGGGGATCGTAAGTTCAAACCTCGTAGCTCCCGTAAGAGACATTGCCGGACGATGACATCATCACGCCCGCTCGCTGCACCAGCCAATCGGCTGCCAGCAACAAGCATCCCACGTGGCCGGCGTGACGCACTCGGGGTCGCCGCACGTGAAGCGACCGTTACGACGTCGCCACGATGACGTCGTCGCGCTTCGTACTCTGGCTGCTAACGAGCGGGGTTAGGGTTCCATCACCGAGCATCGTCGATGGCTCGCTGCCCCTCCCCCCGCACCCCTCCTGGGTAGCGACCGGCTCAACCCCGATTGGACAACGCACCGCCGCCACCACCGCCGCTTGCCATCCCCCGACCTCCGACTGCTTACGGCGCGCCTGGTTCAGGGCTAGTGGTGACGCACGCGTGTGTGTGTGTGTGCGTGTGTGTGTGTGTACGTGTGTGTGTGTGTGCATCTGTGTGCGTGCGTATTTGCGTCTGTGCGTGTATGTCTGCCTGTGTGCACGCATCTGCGTGCGCGTTTGCTTGTACGCGTGCCTGTGCGCGCGTGCGTCTGTCCGCGCGTACGTCTGTCCGCGCGCGCGCGTGCGTGCGTGCGCGCGTGCGTCCGTGCGTGCGTGCGTCAGGACGAGTTCAGCTTCCCGGTGGAGAGCCTCGCGCTCACGGTGGAGGAGGTGATGCACATCCGCCAGGTGCTGGTCAAGGCCGAGCTGGAGAAGTTCCAGCAGTACAAGGAGATCTACACGGCGCTCAAGAAGGGCAAGGTGCTCGCCCATCGCGCCGACACTGCCCTCTCGTGTGGGGGTAGCTGGGGGAGGTTGTGGCAGGCTGGGGGGCAGGCTGGGGGGCAGCTGGGGGGTAGCTGGGGGAGGTTGGGGCAGGCTGGGGGGTAGCTGGGGGTAGCTGGGGGAGGTTGGGGCAGGCTGGGGGGTAGCTGGGGGTAGCTGGGGGAGGTTGTGGCAGGCTGGGGGGCAGGCTGGGGGGCAGCTGGGGGGTAGCTGGGGGAGGTTGGGGCAGGCTGGGGGGCAGCTGGGGGTAGCTGGGGGAGGTTGGGGCAGGCTGGGGGTAGCTGGGGGAGGTTGTGGCAGGCTGGGGGGCAGCTGGGGGTAGCTGGGGGAGGTTGGCGCAGGCTGGGGGGCAGCTGGGGGTAGCTGGGGGAGGTTGTGGCAGGCTGGGGGGGTAGCTGGGGATAGCTGGGGGAGGTTGTGGCAGGCTGGGGGGCAGCCAGGGGTAGCTGGGGGAGGTTGTGGCAGGCTGGGCGGCAGCCGGGGGGTAGCTGGGGGAGGTTGGGGCAGGCTGGGGGCAGCTGGGGGGTAGCTGGGGGTAGCTGGGGGAGGTTGGGGCAGCCGGGGGGCAGCTGGGGGTAGCTGGGGGAGGTTGTGGCAGGCTGGGCGGCAGCCGGGGGGCAGCTGGGGGTAGCTGGGGGAGGTTGGGGCAGTCGGGGGGGCAGCTGGGGGGTAGCTGGGGGAGGTTGGGGCAGTCGGGGGGGGCAGCTGGGGGGTAGCTGGGGGAGGTTGGGGCAGTCGGGGGGGCAGGCTGGGGGTAGCTGGGGGAGGTTGTGGCAGGCTGGGGGGCAGGCTGGGGGGCAGCTGGGGGGTAGCTGGGGGAGGTTGGGGCAGGCTGGGGGGTAGCTGGGGGTAGCTGGGGAAGGTTGGGGCAGTCGAGGGGGCAGGCTGGGGGTAGCTGGGGAAGGTTGGGGCAGTCGGGGGGGCAGCTGGGGGGTAGCTGGGGGTAGCTGGGGAAGGTTGGGGCAGTCGAGGGGGCAGGCTGGGGGTAGCTGGGGAAGGTTGGGGCAGTCGGGGGGGCAGCTGGGGGGTAGCTGGGGGAGGTTGGGGCAGGCTGGGGGGCAGCTGGGGGTAGCTGGGGGAGGTTGGGGCAGGCTGGGGGGTAGCTGGGGGTAGCTGGGGGAGGTTGTGGCAGGCTGGGGGGCAGCTGGGGGTAGCTGGGGGAGGTTGTGGCAGGCTGGTGGGGTAGCTGGGGGTAGCTGGGGGAGGTTGTGGCAGGCTGGGGGGCAGCCGGGGGGCAGCTGGGGGTAGCTGGGGGAGGTTGGGGCAGGCTGGGGGGCAGCTGGGGGGTAGCTGGGGGTAGCTGGGGGAGGTTGGGGCAGCCGGGGGGCAGCTGGGGGTAGCTGGGGGAGGTTGTGGCAGGCTGGGCGGCAGCCGGAGGGTAGCTGGGGGAGGTTGGGGCAGTCGGGGGGGCAGGCTGGGGGTAGCTGGGGGTAGCTGGGGAAGGTTGGGGCAGTCGAGGGGGCAGGCTGGGGGTAGCTGGGGAAGGTTGGGGCAGTCGGGGGGGCAGCTGGGGGGTAGCTCGGGGAGGTTGTGGCAGGCTGGGGGGCAGCTGGGGGTAGCTGAGGGAGGTTGTGGCAGGCTGGAGGGCAGCTGGGGGTAGCTGGGGGAGGTTGTGGCAGGCTGGGGGGCAGCTGGGGGTAGCTGGGGGAGGTTGGGGCAGGCTGGAGGGCAGCTGGGGGTAGCTGGGGGAGGTTGGGGCAGGCTGGGGGGCAGCTGGGGGTAGCTGGGGGAGGTTGGGGCAGTCTGGAGGGCAGCTGGGGGTAGCTGGGGGAGGTTGGGGCAGGCTGGGGGGCAGCTGGGGGTAGCTGGGGGAGGTTGGGGCAGGCTGGGGGGTAGCTGGGGGTAGCTGGGGGAGGTTGGGGCAGGCTGGGGGGTAGCTGGGGGTAGCTGGGGGAGGTTGGGGCAGGCTGGGGGGTAGCTGGGGGTAGCTGGGGGAGGTTGGGGCAGGCTGGGGGTAGCTGGGGGAGGTTGGGGCAGGCTGGGGGGCAGCTGGGGGTAGCTGGGGGAGGTTGGGGCAGGCTGGGGGGTAGCTGGGGGTAGCTGGGGGAGGTTGGGGCAGGCTGGGGGGTAGCTGGGGGTAGCTGGGGGAGGTTGGGGCAGGCTGGGGGGCAGCTGGGGGTAGCTGGGGGAGGTTGTGGCAGGCTGGGGGTAGCTGGGGGAGGTTGTGGCAGGCTGGGGGTAGCTGGGGGTAGCTGGGGGTAGCTGGGGGTAGCTGGGGGGGGTTGGGGCAGGCTGGGGGGTAGCTGGGGGTAGCTGGGGGAGGTTGTGGCAGGCTGGGGGTAGCTGGGGGAGGTTGTTGCAGGCTGGGGGGTAGCTGGGGGGTAGCTGGGGGAGGTTGTGGCAGGCTGGGGGGCAGCTGGGGGGTAGCTGGGGGAGGTTGTGGCAGGCTGGGGGTAGCTGGGGGTAGCTGGTGGAGGTTGTGGCAGGCTGGGAATGGCTGTGCGGCGTGACGAGAGTGAGTGGGGAGTGTGCCGAGCGTGAGCGTCGTGTCGCCCACAGATGTGCTTCTGCTGCCGCTCGAAGCGATTCTCGCTCTTCACCTGGGCCTACACCTGCCACTTCTGCAAGAGGTGAGGGGGGGGGGGTCCTCCGTGGGGGGCGGGGCACTGGGAGGGACGGGCGGGAGGGGGGGGCCGGGGGTGGTGGTGGAGGCGGTGATCCATGACCTCTGCTCTGCGGCCCCCGGCTTCTTGACCGGAGTTAGATGTTTGAGATGCGCCGTGGTGGTTGTCCTTGTGGTGGTTGCGGTGGTGGTGGTGGTTGGTGTGATGGTGGGGACAGCCGTGCTGGGTGGGACGCGTGTGCAGGATTCGGGGGGGCTGAGGGCCGATAGCCAAGACGCCGGCATTGGGAGCGCTCACTACGAGTCTGGTGCTCACGGGGAAGAGGAAACCTCAAAGTGGACACTGGGAGACTGTCAGGGCAAATCTGTGGGTCTCCGTGTGAGTCTGTGGCTCTCCGAGTGAGTCTGTGGCTCTCTGTGCGAGTCTGTGGCTCTCTGTGCGAGTCTGTGGCTCTCTGAGTGAGTCTGTGGCTCTCTGAGTGAGTCTGTGGCTCTCTGAGCGAGTCTGTGGCTCTCTGAGTGAGTCTGTGGCTCTCTGAGTGAGTCTGTGGCTCTCTGAGTGAGTTTGTGGCTCTCTGTGCGAGTCTGTGGCTCTCCGAGTGAGTCTGAGTGAGTCTGTGGCTCTCCGAGTGAGTCTGAGTGAGTCTGTGGTTCTCTGAGTGAGTCTGTGGCTCTCCGAGTGAGTCTAAGACCACGCTCCGGGCGACTGCCGGGGTCAGGCCATGGAGGGTCGCAGCTTCTACTGCGCAGCCGCCGCGGGATCTGGCGGGGGCCAGGGGGAGCGGTGGCCGCGACCACGAGGTGCGGTGGTGGCGGCGGCGGTAGTGGTCGTGGTGATGTCATCGGTGGCTCTGTCCATCGATGATGATGATGATGTCTCGTTGTTGCCCGTTTTGTCTCCTGTGCTCAGGCCTGTCTGCTCGCAGTGCTGCAAAAAGGTAACAGCTTCGGACCACAACCACTCTAACCACAACTGCAACCACGTCACAACCACGTCACAACCACAACTGCAACCACGTCACAACCACAACTGTCGCACGAGCACGACCGATGCCTCAATACGATTGCACAGCCATTATAACCTGCGGCTGCACCTCCGATTGGCACGGTTGGCTACGTACGGTGCGCAAGAAGTCCTGCGTGCATTGTGTGCGTTATCGCCACAACCACGTAGCCGCAATGCAATCGCAGTCGTGCGGTGGAGGCTGGCGTCTGTGTAAGTGTATCATCAGTGGGCCTTAGCTGGTAAAATACAACTAGCAGTAGTAGGTGTTCAATTACTGTTATTATTATTATTTAATTTGTGTGTATGAGTACGTACGTGGAACTTCCTTTGCACCATACGTAGCCAACTGCACTAATTATCGGAAGTGCGGGGGAAGGACAAACGCATCCCCGCCCCCCCCCTGTTGTCGTCGCTGTTGTCGTTATTGGCATTGTTGTTGTTGTCGTCTTTGGTGTTGTTGTTGTCGTTGTCGTCATTGTTGTTGTTGTTGTCGTCGTCATTGGCGTTGTTGTTGTTGTCGTCTTTGGCGTTGTTGTTGTTGTCGTCGTCTTTGGAGGTGTTGTTGTTGTCGTTGTCGTCTTTGCATTGTTGTTGTTGTCGTCGTCTTTGGCGTTGTTGTCGTTGTTTTGGTTGTTGTCGTCGTTGTCGTCTTTGCATTGTTGTTGTTGTTGTCGTCGTCTTTGCATTGTTGTTGTTGTCGTCGTCTTTGGCGTTGTTGTTGTTGTCGTTGTTGTCGTCGTCGTCATCGTGGTTTTTGTTGTTGTCGTGGTTGTTGTCGTCATCGTTGTCGTCATCGTCACCGTTGTCGTCGTCGTTGATGTTGTTTATCATGATCGTCGTCGTTGTTGTTGTTGTTGTGGCCGTCCAGATGCGTTTTCCCACCAAGCACATCGGCCACATCCCCATCTACTCGCTGGGCGCCGCCGGCCTCTCCGGCGCCAGCAGCCCCACGGCGCCCCCCCCTGCAGCCTCCTCCTCCTCCCGCAGCACCCCCGCACCTCGCCGCACCGTGTCCATGCGCGAGAGGGCGACACCCAGGTGAGGCGACGGGGTTGGGGGTGGGACGGGGGGGTTGGGGGCGGAGCGCAGAGGTCGCAAACGGGTTTTGATTCCTTACCCGTACCCGGCCGCACCAGGGTCGCAAACGGGTACCCGTACCCTACCCGATACCCGGCTACCCGTACCCGGCCGGGTATCGGGTAGGGTAGGGTACGGGTACACGATTGCGACCTCTGGGATGAAGCCATGTTGCAGGCGCGGGTGGGTTGATTCTAGGAACTTGAATTGTGAGAAGAGACAAGACGTTGGGGAATGAGTGACAAACGGTTACTCACCAGTGACTCACGGCCTACCCGTACCCGTACCCGGCCGCACCAGGGTCGCAAACGGGTACCCGTACCAGGCCGGGTACCGGTAGCCGGGTATCGGGTAGGGTACGGGTATCGGGTATCCGGTTGTGACCTCTGGCGGGGCGGGGGGGTTGGGGGTGGGGGGGGCAGTGAGGGGTTGGGGGGGGAGTCCTCAGGTGAGGTATCCTCAGGTGAGCAGCCTGCAGAAGAGGCCTCGCCAGGTGAGGTTCGTCCGATGCGAATGACAAGGACCAGCGGTGCCCTCGTGGTGGCACCACTACACCACTAGGTGACACCGCTACCCCACCAGGTGACACCGCTACCCCACTAGGTGACACCTCTACCCCACCAGGTGACACCGCTACCCCACTAGGTGACACCACTACCCCACTAGGTGACACCGCTACCCCACTAGGTGACACCGCTACCCCACTAGGTGACACCGCTACCCCACTAGGTGACACCGCTACCCCACTAGGTGACACCGCTACCCCACTAGGTGACACCACTACCCCACTAGGTGACACCGCTACCCCACTAGGTGACACCGCTACCCCACTAGGTGACACCGCTACCCCACTAGGTGACACCTCTACCCCACCAGGTGACACCGCTACCCCACTAGGTGACACCACTACCCCACTAGGTGACACCGCTACCCCACTAGGTGACACCGCTACCCCACCAGGTGACACCGCTACCCCACTAGGTGACACCGCTACCCCACCAGGTGACACCGCTACCCCACCAGGTGACACCGCTACCCCACTAGGTGGCGCTGCTACCCCACCAGGTGACACCGCTACCCCACCAGGTGACACCGCTACCCCACCAGGTGACACCGCTACCCCACCAGGTGACACCGCTACCCCACCAGGTGACACCGCTACCCCACCAGGTGACACCGTTACCCCACCAGGTGACACCGCTACCCCACTAGGTGACACCGCTACCCCACCAGGTGACACCGCTACCCCACCAGGTGACGCCGCTACCCCACCAGGTGGCGCCGCTACCCCACCAGGTGACACCGTTACCCCACCAGGTGACACCGCTACCCCACTAGGTGACACCGCTACCCCACCAGGTGACACCGCTACCCCACCAGGTGACACCGCTACCCCACTAGGTGACACCGCTACCCCACCAGGTGACACCACTACCCCACCAGGTGACACCACTACCCCACTAGGTGACACCACTACCCCACTAGGTGACACCACTACCCCACTAGGTGACACCACTACCCCACCAGGTGACACCGCTACCCCACTAGGTGACACCGCTACCCCACTAGGTGACACCGCTACCCCACCAGATGACACCACTACCCCACCAGGTGACACCGCTACCCCACCAGGTGACACCACTACCCCACCAGGTGACACCACTACCCCACCAGGTGACACCGCTACCCCACTAGGTGACACCACTACCCCACCAGGTTACACCGCTACCCCACCAGGTGACACCGCTACCCCACCAGGTGACACCGCTACCCCACTAGGTGACACCGCTACCCCACTAGGTGACACCGCTACCCCACTAGGTGACACCGCTACCCCACCAGGTGACACCGCTACCCCACCAGGTGACACCGCTACCCCACTAGGTGACACCGCTACCCCACCAGGTGACACCGCTACCCCACTAGGTGACACCGCTACCCCACCAGGTGACACCGCTACCCCACCAGGTGACACCGCTACCCCACCAGGTGACACCGCTACCCCACCAGGTGACACCGCTACCCCACCAGGTGACACCGCTACCCCACCAGGTGACACCGCTACCCCACCAGGTGACACCGCTACCCCACCAGGTGACACCGCTACCCCCCAGGTGACACCGCTACCCCTCCAGGTGACACGCTACCCCACCAGGTGACACCGCTACCCCACCAGGTGACACCGCTACCCCACCAGGTGGACACCGCTACCCCACCAGGTGACACCGCTACCCCACCAGGTGACACCGCTACCCCACCAGGTGACACCGCTACCCCACCAGGTGACACCGCTACCCCACCAGGTGACACCGCTACCCCACCAGGTGGCGCCGCTACCCCACCAGGTGGCGCTGCTACACCACCAGCTGTAGCGTGGGGACCTTGTTTAAAGTGTGGCGTGTGGGGGTCGGGGTGTGCTTGAGACTCGGTGAGACTTTCCCAGGTATACCAGAGGAACTAATAACAAAATCACAATGATGATCACAACAACAACCGTTTCTCTCCTTCTCCGTCCGTGGGCAGCCCCGCACTCGGTGGCAGCGGTGGCGGCGGGTGGCGGCGGCGGCGGCGGCGGGGGCGGCTGGGAGCCGGCGCTGCCGACGCGCAGCACAGCCGACTGGGCTGCGTGGACGTCTGCGTCGACTGCCGCCGCTTCGTCGCCGACATCATCCGCTCGAGCCGCAACCCCTTCCACGGCGACCGGCGGGCGCCCTGGCTGCGCCGCTACAAGACTCGCTCGCTGGAGCCCAGCGCCGACGCCCGGAAGTTGGCGGGCGGCGCTGGCGGCGGGGACGGGCTGGCGGCCGCCACGTCCGCGGCACCCCCCGGCGTGAACCGCGGGTTCCACCTGGCCGTGCCGCGCGAGACGCCCATCAAGGAGGTGTAGGCGGCGCCGGGGGTTTGGTGTCGGCAAAGCGGAGAAATCAAAGACGACGACGGTGACGAGTTCCGCCGAGATTGATGGACGCGGGACAACGCGGCCACTGCGGCCGTCGCCGGTCGAAGGATCAAAATGGACAAGCGGAGAAGCGAGCGGCGGTGGTGGTGGCGGCGGCGGTGGTGGCGGCGGTGGTGGCCGTGTCTGGTGGGCCACGGGGCCGTGGGAGGATGGGGTGGGGGGCGGTAGTGCCACCTCCGCCGCCGTGGACGGAACTCGTGGGGACCGGCACGGACGGCCGCCACCGTGGCGCCCGCGGAGTGAGCGGCGCTGCCCGCCAGCGAGTGCGCACAAACTGCAAAGTGTGACATGCGCGTGCGTGTGTTTGTCTGCATGTATGTGCATGCGTGTGTGCGTGTGCGCGAGTTCCCTTGCGCTGGCCGCTCCATCAGCATGGCACTGCCCCTATACTTGGTGCGCGCACGCACACGGACAAACACACACACACGCACACAAGAACATACGGAAACTCACACGTGCACACACACACACGTAGAAACTCGTACGCACAGATACACGCGCGTCCGCCGACACGCACAAACACACACACAGGGACAAGGACAAAGATTCCCCGTATAGCCTGAACAGACTTTTGGGGGAAGTGCTGATAACGAGCACCTCTATGAAGGCCAGCACGGCACACACACACACACGTACCCACACACACACACACACGTACCCACACACACACACACGTACCCACACACACACACACGTACCCACACACACACACGTACCCACACACACACGTACCCACACACACACACGTACCCACACACACACGTACCCACACACACACACGTACCCACACACACACGTACCCACACACACACACGTACCCACACACACACACGTACCCACACACACACGTACCCACACACACACGTACCCACACACCGAGACACTCAATAACACACACACACGTACCCACACACATGTACCCACACACACACTTACCCACACACACCGAGACACTCAATAACACACACACGTACCCACACACACACGTACCCACACACACCGAGACACTCAATAACACACACACGTACCCACACACACACACACACGTACCCACACACCGAGACACCCACACACACAGATGCGCGAGTGAGCGCTGTGTGTAAATCTGCACCGGACCGACATGAGGATGTTTAGGGGGTGCGGGTTTAGACCCGGCCCCCCCGCCCCCCCACCCCCCCGCCCCCCTGCCCCCCTGCCCCCCTCATATTTATTTGTTGCGTGACGAGGCCGAGAGTGACCAGGCTGAGAGCGAGCGTCGGTGATCTCGAGGTCAAGGAGCCCGACTCCGGGGTCAGGGTCGTGGAGCCCTGCTTGTGCGACGAGGTCGCTACCCCTCTGATGAGGTCAGGATGGTTGCCGTGTCTGAGGTCAGGGTTGTGACCCCAGTTTGATTAGGTCAGGGGTTGTGGCCCCCTTTGTTTGTGTCGTGAGGTCAGAGGTCGTGACCCAGTCTCAACGATGAGGTCAGGGTGTGTGTGTGTGTAATTGTGTGTCAGTGTGTGTGTGTGACTGTGCGTGTTATTGTGTGTGTGTCGCGGGGAGCGGTAGTGTAGCGGTTAGCGCGCTGCGCTACGAACCCGGCGACCCGGGTTCGATTCCCGCTCACCGCCAACACCGGTGACGATTATCTGAACCGGTCCTGGGCCTCCCCTAGGTCGACTCAGCCTCAAATGAGTACCTGGTGCGGTGTGTAAACATCGCCACTGGGGAGACAAAGGCGGTCGGGCGTGGTGCAGGCCACCCCACCCCCTCGTGTACCGTTCCGGCCTTAATAAGTGCTCGCTAACAGCACTTGCCCCTACAGTCTGTTAAGGCTATACGGGGGGGAGCTTTGTATTTTTGTGTGTGTCGCGGTGAGTGTAGCTGTGTATGTGTGTGTGTCAGGGTGTGTGTGTCAGGGTGTGTGTGTCAGGGTGTGTGTCACCACAGCTGGTGTGTGCATGATGTGAGTCTTCCGTAGAGATGGTGAGAATGGTGAGCGTTTGTATTTCTGGCCGCGTGAGAGATTGCGTTTGTGTGCGAGGGATTTGTGGGTCAGTGCGCAAGTGTTGGG